GTGTGTGTGTGTGTGTGTGTGTGTGTGTGTGTGTGTGTGTGTGTGTGTTTACATGTGTGTGCGTGTGTTTACATGTGTGTGTGTACATGTGTGTACATACATGTGTGTACATGTGTGTGTGTACATGTGTGTACATGTGTGTACATGTGTGTACATGTGTGTACATGTGTGTACATCTGTGTACATCTGTGTGTATATATGTGTACATATGTGTACAGCTGTGTACATATGTGTACATATGTGTGTACATGTGTGTGTACATATGTGTGTACATATCTGTGTAATTCTGTGTACATATGTGTGTGTGTGTGCGACTATATGGTCAACGACGAGCCCACGCCGCCGCCGCGCTGCGGAACGTCCGTGCGTACTTTCGACGCCGCATGAGGCGGCGTCCACAAAAAGCTTCTCCTCTGCACGGTTCGCGGTTTGTTGCACGTATTCGTTGTGCCCGATGATAACCGGCGTGTGACAAACCCGCGCTCGGCGGGCGGTTTGTCGCCCCGCCATACCGCTGGGTGCCGCCGCTCCCCCCGCCACACTGCCTCGCGCTGCCCCAGGGTGTCGGCGCCTGCATGTTGTGCCGTCCATGACGGTGTCGAGACGTTCGCGCTCGCGCTCTCAGGGACGTGACGTCGTACAGGTCGTCAAGGAGTCAAGCAACGCCGCGAGGAATTTTAAGTCCACCGAGGCTGCGTGCAAGGCATCCTGATGGCCGACGGCCGAGAGAGCCGGCGCCGGCAGGTCACCCTGCTCCATGCCCTCGGCCTGCAGCACCTGGGGACCTGACCATCGGCGTCAGGGTCAATTTCGACGGGAAGGAGCGCGGCCAAGGCATCCTGAGGGCGCACTGGTAGGGGCGTGTGTGGCGCGGTCGAGCCAATCAACAAACATGCGAGCCAGCACCCTGGAGACGAGACGCCGGAGAACATCACCGCTAGCGATGCCGTGAACGCCATCGGGCTTGCGCAGCGCCGTGAGGCGAGGGAGGGAATGCGCATCGGTGACGGTTGCAGGCGCTTCCGCTCGCGCAAGGCTATTGACGACGGAGGTGTTCGCCGAGTGATCGAGCAGGAGTCTGTAATGCTGGTGGGTGGCGCCATGTGGCGTCAAGGTTAACGCGGTGCCGGGACTGTGCCGAGTCGACCTGCAGCAGCTCTGCCGCGATTTCTTGGCGTGGGATCGCGAAGGGCCGCAAGTGTAGTGTCGTCATGTGTCCCGCCTGTTGCCAAGCTAGCACCCCATGGAAAGACCTGCAGAGCACGTGACAACATGCCACAGCTGCCCCGGACCCAAACAGGCATGTTCCTGGCGGCTGCCGAGGAGCCGTTGCGGCGCAGGAGAAGACGGGGAAGCTCGCGAAACGAAACAATTTCCACGTGCGCTCCGGCGCTGTCGCGTCAGCGCATCCATCGGCCCTGCCTAATACGCTGTCGGAGACCCTGAGTTGAACGGGGCGCGTCGCTGCGTCGCTGCGCCTGTCGTGTTGCCGGCAGCGTTTCGGGGACGATGCGTCGGCTCCTTGCGAGATCTTTCCCCGGCAGCCGAGCTACGTGACGGCCAGCTTCCCGAGCTGCGTGAGCTGCTTGCCGCGTTAGATCGAGCCAGTCCTTTCCGCCCTGAGCTCCCACACTGTTGCAGGACTGACCTCGCAAAAGGGCTACCATGGAACCCCAGACCGGGCGCATGGTTCCAAGCGCATCCTGTCACACGGCAGCACCTGGCAGTGACGAGGGGAAGTGGCATGCGAAGCAGTCGGAGGAGCAATGCTGGGAACACGGGCGGGTCGAGCGAGGGTGGGCGGGCAACGAAGACTCGCACAGCATGGACGACCACGTGGGGTCAACTCCGATGACCTTCTTGTTTGCAGCCATTCGCTCCATGCAGGCTGCAACCAGGGTGTGAACTCATCGAACTCAGGCAAGAGAAAAACGTGGGGGGCTCGCAGTCAACCCACAACAAGAAAACCCGATAAGCAGCTGGCGCATGGCAAGTAGCGCCACGGAGCCCATGCTGTCAGTGCTCGCAACAAGTCCTGTGTCGGAGGCGGCCGAACCGCAGCCATGTCGGAGGCCGCCGAACCGCAGCCATGCAGCTTGTGTTTCGTCCAGTCTAACGCGGGTAACAGGTCGAAGAAAGTGGACAGATGCGTTTACAAACGAAATTGGTGCTCGCCTGGCGGAGCGAAACGCGGCGTCTCCCTTCCAGACTGTCAGACTCGGGTTCCCAACTCACTACATCCTGGCATAGATCAGCTTTGGTGGTGTTCCGCATACGACGCTCACGTACGCGAAAGCATGTCCCCTGCTCGCCTTGCATGCGGGGGCGAGGGCAACGGCATGAGAGGGTTGCCGCTCAGCATTTTTGGATGACCTGAGTTTCCGGGCCTGCCTCGCACGCCAAGCAAGGGCAAGGACGGCAGAATGTCATTGAACGCATGTTGAGCAAACATGGGTGCAACAAGATGTTGTGTTTAAGCATCTCGACTGTGCTCATCACCGCCCTCGCGATTCCGCATGTTTCGTGTTTAGCGCTCGAATCAAAATTTATGTTCGACGGACGACAACATTGCCGGATTTTATGACCAATGTCAACCGGGGTTTGTTGTCGTAACCACACTGCAGGAACTTGGTGTGCAAGAGGCGGTTTCCAATCAAGCAACAAAGTGAATCATGTTGTCGATCGTGTTTCCACCTCACTGAGCTTTCTTGTGTTCTTCAACAATGTTTTACATCTGCCCTGCTCAGGCCAAACTCGGTCATCAACTAGACTTCGGTGGTTGGAATTCGAATCTCCACCTCTCGCACGGCTAAAGCCAATCGGTTTGATGATGCGCCCGCACAATAGGGGGATTCATGTGAAATGCCGTCGTTCTGGAGTTCTATGGCATTCTACGTAGGCAGGAATGTCTCTCCGACGGTTTGTACAATAACGAGCAATGCTGGGTGTGCTGGTTGCAGAATCAAATAGCCTGCCTGGGCGGCACGATGTGGCAGGAGATGGAAGAGCGGCACGACCGGCACGGCTACGGCGAGAGCTCATGGGAGTCGGCTGGGCAATGAAAGCACTATGACACTATGAACTTTGGAGACATTGGGAACCTGGCCTCCGAGCACCCGCAGAAATGGTCGGCTTTGGGCAATGGGGCACTGGCGGCGTCAACTTGCAGCTCGCTCCACCATGTCGGACGGCCCAGCCGATCAGTCGACAGGGAGCGAGGATTTTTTTTGTCAATTTTTCTGGTTTTTTTTGTGAATTTTCTTGCTTTTTCTTGCTTTTCTTGTGGTTTTCAGAACATGCCCTCCTGGTTCTGCCTGTCGTCCTCCTCTGGTGGGAATTCTTTTCTGTGCATTTTTTTGGTTTTTTTGGTGAATTTTGCTGGTTTTCAGCTTCCGATGGCCTCTCAGCGGCACCGCGTGTCCGGAACAGGTCCAAATCTCAACGTGCTACAACAACACATTACGTCCAACCCTTCGTCCTTTTGCAACTCGCGCTTGGAGCGTCGGGGCGGCCATCGTTGGCCCCGACAGGACTCAAAAGCTAGTTAACGTCCGGGGCTGGTTCAAGAGGAACCTCGGATGCTTCAATCTGAAACTTTGCTTCGGTTTAGGGCTTACTGCGCATGTAGGCCGCAAACATGCTATCAGGATTTGCGGCTTATGGTGGACGGTTTGGGTCTTATTAGGCTCTACGGTTTGCGGGGTCAAGGTTGCTCCTCGTATCATTGCCCCTTCAGTCCGGAACTACGGCTTAGGGTTTAGGGTGTAGGGTGTGTTGCGGGAAGCGGGGGGTTGGGGGGGGCGCAGCCCCCCCCCATTTGCAAACACGATTCTCGCATGATGGGTTTCCGAAAATGTGTGCATATGGCATATGCTTTGAGGCAAGCTTGCACGGCTTGAGAAAGCGGGGGGCTTGGGGGGGGCGCAGCCCCCCCCATTTGCAAACACGATTCTCGCATGATGGGTTTCCGAAAATGTGACGATTCTCGCATGATGGGTTTCCGCAAAAGTGTGCATATGGCATATGCTTTGAGGCAAGCTTGCACGGCTTAAACAAAGCGGGGGGGGGGGGTTATTTCTTTCTTTCTTTCTGTCTTTCTTTCTTTCTTTCTCTCTTTCTTTCTTTCTTTCTTTCTTTCTTTCTCTCTTTCTTTCTTTCTTTCTTTCTTTCTTTCTTTCTCTCTTTCTTTCTTTCTTTCTCTCTTTCTTTCTTTCTTTCTGTCTTGCTTTCCTTCTTTCTTTCTTTCTCTCTTTCTTTCTTTCTTTGTTTCTCTCTTTCTTTCTTTATTTCTGTCTTGCTTTCCTTTCTTTCGGCCTTTCTTTCTTTAGTTATTTCTTTCTTTCTGTCTTGCTTTCCTTTCTTTCTTTCTTTCTTTCCTTTATTTCTTCCTTTCTTTCTTCCCTTTCTTTCTTTCTTTCTGTCTTGCTTTCCTTTCTTTCTTTCTTTCTTTGTTTCTTTCTCTCTTTCTGTCTTTCTTTCTTTCTTTATTTCTTTCTCTCTTTCTGTCTTTCTTTCTTTCTTGCTTAAAAAACAGAAAAAAAACACAAAAAAAACCAAAAAAAAACACAAAAAAAATACCCTACCCAGTCGACAGCACGGCGGTTCCAGGGCGGTTCTAATCAGCATACATGGAAATGATGTCTGTCTGGAAAACACCCGACACGGAAGAACATCGTGAAATAAGACAGGCACCAGACATGATCATTCGGCAACAGTCCTGGCCACGTCTGGAGCAAGATTGCCGGCACAACTGTGCGAAATCCGCCGGATCAGCTCACCATCCCCACACGCAGCGCCTGGCATGTCTGGGAGTCTGGGCACAACTGGGCACCATCGACGTCGACGCGCGTGCATGCAGCGACGTTCGTCCGCCAGCTCATCCGTTGCCGAACTCCTCTCTCCTGGCCTCACAATAAAGCACGTGGAAACCACTTGGAAACCAAAACAAAGCCACTGCGTGCACCAGGGAAGGTGGCCCTTTTCCTCAGCATGTTTAGTCCTCATTCCAGTGGAACTTTCAACAGTGTACCAAATTCCGCAGCCCAGCTGACTGAAATTCTGGCATGTACCTCCGGCAAGGTGAGAGTGGCAGAACAGCAGTTGTTCTGCGAAAAACTACGACGAACTGAAGGTGCACACAGTTGAGGTAAAGGTCATTGCCTTGCCCTGGCGCGTCAAGAACTGAAGCGGTGAGGCTGCGTGACGTGGAGCCTGGACTGCCAGCGGCAAGGGAGTCAGGAGGGACAAAAGTAGAGTCACGAGGGCCCGGCCACATAGATCCCGTTGTGCCTGCGCAAGTGAACTGCTGTTACTGTTGCTACTAATAGTTGCTTACAAGCGCCAAGAGCCAGTTCACAGCTAAACACATGGGGGTCACCATGTGCCAGGATGAATGTAGATGCCCTTCCCTTTGGGCACGTGGAAGGCTCGCATGTCCTACGATGGACCGAGAAACTGACTGTGAATCAACTTCCATTGAAGGCTTGAGAATACTACAGTTACTACAGTGCTTTGCGATGCTCCAACGAGGTGTTTCCTTTGTTCTTTTCAATCGTCCTCTGGCTTGATGTCATCTCCAGCCGAGGCTGGGCCGAGGCACACGGTGAACGGCACTGGCTGTCGTGGCCAAAACAGCTGGCCACCTACTGCATGCAATCGCATCATGCGTCAACTGAACTTCAGCTGAGCTCCGTACCGTCAGGATGGTAGTCGCTCATCCACAAGTATATAGAGCCTGATGAGAGCGTCAGAAATGCCTGATCAAGCTCCATCTACTTTTTTCGGTTGAGCAGCTTGCTTGCGTCCGCCGGCTTGTCTGCCATTGCCTCTTCAGGCCTCTGCGCGTTCTCAACATTGAGAGGGGCACACGACAGCTGGCTTGCAAAGGTTGCATCGGATCGACGTCTAGCTGCCCAGCTATTCTAGCTCTTATTCCACACTGAGATTCATGGGTTGCAAGGTGTACTACACTTTCGGCATCTTTCATCACAGTATGTCACACTTGAGTCCGGCACAGGGCTCCCAAGCCGTCAAGGTACTTGTTATTTGCGGTTGCGATGGCCAGGTTCTGACCTCAGGTGGCAAAGAGACCATCAGCTACCTGCGTCTTCGGCGTTTGTTCTGGTTGACCGCACATTTTGCTCCGTTCCACTGCATCTTATACTAGCTCCAACGTTTTCGAACTGTCTGCAATTCAAAGAGACTGAAAAAAGGAGAAACCGAACACGTCAAACTCAAATGATGTGCATCCAACGTCTCCAATCACAACATCAACGGCAGCAATGTAACAACTACTGTACCTGACTGTAGTATGTCGGGTGACAATGATGGTGATGATCTGTGATGGTGAAGATGATGTTGAGAATGGTAATGGACCTGCACGAGCACGCGCGAAATGTGCTGAGTCGACGGTTAGCTACAACCAAGATTGAAAACTCTTTGGCCCGGCACTGAAGACCTGGCTGGCGTTTGATAGAAATTTGATCTCCCCCCGCCCCCCTCCTCCCGACTCTTCAACGAAAACAGTGACAAGCTTCCTCCAAGGATCTCAAGCCGAACGGGGATCCTTGAAGTTGTCGCTTGAGTTGCTCGTTTGTTGTGCACAGTTGTAGTGCGTGTCTAGAGTCTGGGGAGCACCTGGAGGCGAGGTCCGAAGCACTTGCTTCTCAAGCTGGCCACTCCTGTCTTGAAGCCACCATAAAGAGATAGCCGGATAGCCACGCCATCCACCCTAAGACTGCCATGCAAGGCATGCAAAAAGCTACTTTAACACGTTGCTCGTCCCTCGGCTTGTAGAATAGCACTTCACATGGCTTGAGAGGCAGGAACCAACCAAAGGGGCCCCTGGCAGCAGCTTTTGTCAAAGGACAGCTCTCCTCATTGTTTGCTGTTATTAGTGGCATCCGAGATTCAGACCATAGAAGAAGTCTCCCTGCAATGTGCTGGGAAAGTGGAGGCAGGACGCAGGAAACGGACAAAACCGATTATGCCGAGAGTCGAGAGCAAGTCGGAAGCACAAGACTTTCAACCCGCATGGCAAGAATGCGTCGCCCTCGACATTAAATTCCCAGAGGTGTTGGTGCCGATACCCGCAGGCCTGCCATTTCACTTGGAAGTCGCCCTCCGTTGTTCCCGCCTGGCTGTTACCCAGCTTCGTCAAAACGCGGAGGCATATGATAGAACTCGACAGCTTCCCTGCCTCATCCCCGGTGCCCGGATCTAGTGGACGCCACCCCGGTTGAGGCCACTGAGCGATTTCAAAGGTTTTGTCCTCCACGGTAAAGTCCTCCATGTGCGAGGATGCACGACGCTTCGCTGCAGTGATGGCTGGAGTCCTCCGGCCGATGAACCACCCTGCACCAACGGCACCAGCAACATGTCAAACCGATTATTGAGCTCATCCAAGTTTGTTGCCAATCCTCGTCTCTGTACTCTTCTGCATCGATGAATCTTGGAATCTGCCTCCCCAACCCTGCGAGAGAGGTGTCGCTAGCCGGCTCTGGACGGATCTCGCGGATGCGGAGGCCTGCAGGTCCCATGACAACATTCGGTATTGTGGAGTATCTCTACCCAGAGAGGGTGGGGATGTTCGAAGGAAACTAATTTAGATCTGCCAACCTGCTGGTAAAGATGGCCGCTGGAAGTTCTCCGAAGTGAAGACAAAAGCTGGCTCTTGAGCCACCTCAGCACATCCCAGAGCGTAAATTGCAGAACCATAGTTGACTGACAGTGTGAACTGGGGGTGTGACCTGATGGCTGCGTGCCACCGCCTGACTTAAAACATGTCCAACATTTCAAAAAAACTCTCAGTCTCTCAGTGACCTCCAAGGATGCAACGCTTGCGGCGCGGCGGAGTCTATGAAGTGGTCTCATGGCTGACAGACGATGCATTTTCCTGGACAGTGTGAAGCGAAGCTCGCATGTCCAAGACTGGGACACAGATGACTTGTCCATGTGGTCGGCGGTGCTGCATGGTGCTGCTGTCCGTTGTCGCCCCGTTAGCTTTGATGAACTGACCTCTTGAATCACTTGAATCCTCTTAAGCGTAGTCTCGAGCCTTGAGCGAAAGGGGTGTAAGTCCGGGATGCTTCCCTCTGTTCTTGTGAGTGTGCAAGAATTCACCGGCTCTGGTCCTGTTTTCGCCCAGCATAGAATCGAACGTTGGCAGCCGGACCGTGGTGACTCAATCGGAGCTGCATGCAGAAGGATCTGAATCTCAAGTATTCCATGCCTCAACCTCCCCCCCCATAGACATTTAGCAGCTGTCGCATTTCCAGGTGCCTGGAAGATCTTGGGATGCTTGTATCTGCATGCACTTTGTGAGTCGATCCAGCTGCTATGTACAGAAGCAAAGCTGCTTTTGCATCATCGCGAGGTGCAAGCAGCCAGGCTTGAGTGACAGGGTGGGCTGCGGCTGCTCAGGCTTCCACTTCAGGCCAGCACAACCGTTCAGAAGCACTGACTCAACTTTGCGACATCATGCTTTGACCTGACGCAGTCTGGTGCCAGGTGGAGAGCATTCGAGCATGTTTGTCTTATTCAAGTGTCCCAAGACAGCCACATCAGTCCTTGACCTCGCAAGTAGCTCTAAGACTTTAAGACGTTTAAAGTCGCGTTCAATCATTCAAGTGGTAGCTTTGAGCCTTTCAACACGGTTGGAAATTTGCAGCACTGTCTTTGTCAAGAAATGTATTGTATGCTGTACGCTGTATGCTGAATAGCCGATTACCAGCCAATGTCTGCATAGCACGTTCGCTTCCCGTGAACATGGTTTCAACGAATTAGATGAATTAGTTAGCTAGCTAGAAGTACGCTCATTATGAACTTGGAATCCTCTCTCAGGAGGCGGCGTCTGGCGACTGTAACGACTGTGGTGTTGGCAGCTTCTCCGCAGGCCGCAGATCAACTTCCAGGTACGAAACGTTTGCCTTTGAGCGAAAGGCACAAGGGGCACTCGTTTAATGCGCTCAAAATTTTGGCAGTCATGAAGCTCATGAATTGCAGTTCTCCGTAACAAGGATTCCTAGCCGAGAGGCGTCGCCGGCCATGACAGCCTACCACGCAGTCTACTCGCACTTGATTGACGCGTCAGTGCACACATTGGTCTCTCAGCCCGTCTCAGCAAAATGTGACAAGCTTTGGCCCTACTTCATCGCCCTCGAAATGAACTTGCCAAGCACTGCGTTCGACTTTGGACAATCGGTGCAACGGACGAGCCTCAGTCCCAGAGCGCTACATCTGCCGTATTCGTCTTATCTCAGGACATGCCGACCTTCTGAATCCAAACCCGAGGCCCAGTTCCTATGTTACTTTGTCAGGCTCCTCCTGTACACTGCAGGCTGTTCCCTTTTGCACATGCATTCCAAAGGGCTCGAGCCTCTACTGAGTCCACCTGCTTGGCGGCGAGGTCGGCAAGAATCTGACAGTGGCTGTAGCGATCATTACATTTGCCGTTGTTCGCAAGCACTCGCAAGCTTCAAACGGTCGGGGGAAAAGTAAACAGCCAAGGAACCGCATGCAGTGCCCGCATGGAGTCGAGTGGCACGCGACTCCCGATGTACCTATAACAGCATTTGCTTGGTGCTATGGTCGTGGAAAGGCCCAAACTCTCCAGTCACCGCCTGACATGTTGAACGCAAAGGCTGACAGTCTTGCTCAGCACGGCAGGAGACACCTCGCGGAGGTGCTTGCCATGTGTCTGCAGTTCGTTTGGCACATTTTTGCACAGACTGTCGATTAGCGCAACCCTCTCCTGGCCGGCGCCCTCCGCAAAGAGCCGGGCAACCTCGAAAACAGATCCTACATTTTCCTTTACTGTTTTTTGTATATAGCGGTTTTGTGGTTTTTGTCCTCGTTTTCCCTGCTCCTATTTTCATAGACAACCTCAATTCATCTCTCGTTGCATAGAACGCAAAGTATATGGTGCTGATCCATCTCCTCTTGGCTTTGCTTTTTCTGTTTTGTAAGCGCTGAACTAGATAGCCAGCCTCCTTCTTTCCATAGTTTCCATTTCTCTTAATTCCAAGCCTCCACGCCCTCTGTATACATTTGGCAGAGTTGCTTAAGACTTGCCAGGCTTTTCCAGACAACAAGAAGCGGGGGGTGGTGGGGGGGGGGGGCAGCCACCTCCCGCTTTGCAAGCAAATGCTCTGGCCTCATTGAGAATATCAACGAAGAGACCCACGTCTGATGGATCTGAGTGTATGGCACCTCGAAGCAGTTCAGAAGTAAGCATGCCTTGCACTTGGCTGCAACACGTCAGTGAGGCTGTAAGGTCCGTTCCGTCAGCGCTTTGCAAGGCCCGTCTCATGCAGAGCAGTCCGTTGTCAGGATCCTGCGCGGGGGCAGCATGCGGAAAGCCAGGATCGATCATCAACGGCCCAGGCCTGCAGCTCAGGCTGCGGCAGCCAAAACCTTAGATGCGAGTGCTGTTCAGTGCTAGTAATTCTGAAACTACACCACCGTGCCGGTGTACGTCAACTGGCATGCAGACAGGCAACAGCTCACAGCACAGACAAAATGCCTTGCTCTGAAATCTCTTCGATAGCCTGCATAGATCGGGCATGTGGAGGACTGTGTGGAAGGCAGGCATGTCAGATTTCACACGCTGGCAATGCTGGCAATGCTGGCAATCTGTAAGCGAGTCAGAGGTTCATCTTGCCGCACATGGCCACCGCTCGTTGGCGGAGCTTTTCAGGCTCCTGGAGTGCTTCAAAGACACACACACACTCACACTCACACTCACACTCACACTCACACTCACACTCACACACACTCACACTCACACTCACACTCACACTCACACTCACACTCACACTCACACTCACACTCACACTCTCACACACACACACACACACACACACTCACACACACACTCACACACACACACACACCCACGCATTGCCACCTCAAGCACGTAGTCAAGGTACGGCGTCCTCTGGACCAACCTTCATCCTCTGAAGCGTTCCAACAAAAAGTTGCAACCCGCAGAGTCGCGCCTTGCGGTGCGTTGCTTACGATCAGGCAAGTGAACGCAAAGGAACACTGGTGACCATCCAATGGTCTGTGTGAAGCTCTCAGCAGATTCACGGGCCTCCTGCTTGGGGACTTGATCTTCCAAACAGGCCAGCGCTTTGTCCACACAACTGGCGGAGAACGACGCATATGACAAATCATGACAACGACGACTTCCAGAGGCACATTGAATCTGCATGTTGTCATATGTTGTCTCGGGGCCTGGAGCAGAGCTTCTTCAGCCTGACACTTATTGAAGTGCCCATCAAAAGAAGAAGAGGAGGATAAGAAACCCCTCCTGTCTTCGTGCATTGTCATTAAGACTGTGGCTGTGCGTCGTGTTTAGCCGCCACTGCACGATCTGCTGATGCTGCACAAAGAAGCCAAAGCCTGAGAGACTCCTTGCAAGTCTTGTATAATATGTGCAACGTCATGCAAACATTGGCACGAGTCCCTGGTCGGTTCTCGAGATGCAGCATCAGTCAGCACACATATGCCCCACGAAAACAGCAAGCGAAGCTTCAACACAGGAGACTCCCTGGCAAGCACCGACTCATACACTTGCCGTACCCAGTAACCTTCAAACAATGCCCGTCCTTTGGGATCAAGGTTCCAAGACTCTGGCACAGAGTGTGCCTATCAATATTTCGAAAACTGTGGAGCAAACGCAGAATGTGCAGAACGCCGGCTCCAGAATATCGAGGCTCAGGTCGTCGCGTGAAGTCAAAGATTCGGACCAGCTCACTGCATCTCAGTCCACAATTGTCATCCAAGTTGTTCCCGGATTCTGATGCTTGTCATGCAACTCTTTTTGAACTCGGGAGGCAGCTCCTCCTCGCAGCTCGAACCTCCAACAGATTTGCAACCCTTCTACGGAGCAAGTCTGGTGTATTCTGGTGTACTGTGTAGCTGTGCTTGACATCAGGGCAAGACAGAGAGAACGAGAGGGAGGAGCTAGGAAAGGACAAACGCTCAACGGCCTTGGAGTGTGAAGCGATCCGCCTCGGAGACACACGACATCGCCCAAGGGCCCAAAGGGGTTTAAGTGGGATCTGAGGGCGGCTTGGGGCTTGGGGCCTAGGGCCGCTAGGATCCTGGGACAAGTGATTGGGCGACAGCGCTCTCATTCTTGTTCTTTAATTCGTCTTGAGTCGGTTCCCTGCCGCCCTCAGCCATGGTCACACACACACACACACTGACAGTTCGGCCTGGGTCTGAGATCAGTTCAGGGGTGTTGTTGATATTTCTATGAGTAGAGGGTGTCAACCCGGCCCTGCCCATCTTTTCTGGTCCAACTCTCCTCTGTTGGAGCAACAAATTGCCACTCCCGCTCCGGCCTTGCCCGGAATTGCTGACACAAGTAGCTGCCCTCGCTCTTTTTTCAGTCAGTCTGCAACCCAACACTAAACAAATGTAGATGTACAAATTCTCACAGGGTTCATACTGATTCATACTCAAAGTGGCCCAGATGCACATGCAAATGCACAGAGATCATGGTCGGTGTCCAGAACCCGGACCCCAAGCCTTTCTCGCAATCCTCGCTATTGGCCCTTCCCGCTTGCACCGCCAAAACCTCCCCTCTCGGCAGTCGGCAGCCACCCGGACCCTGGCCGCCCCAATAGTGCCCACACATCTCACGGCGGCGCGTCGAGGTCCATGGGGCGAAATTTAGAAACTGTCGCCTTCCCTTCCGGCCCCATCCAGTTCAACAAACCGAGGTGGCTGGCATGTACCTTCGAAATAGTACTAATGACACAAAACAAAGATGACGGCGATACAAGTCAACTGTGCACGTGAGAGCCTTCCAAGAGCACTGCACGAGAGGTGTAAGGAGAAGGCGAGCTGCAGCACAGCCGCGACCATTGCCGGGACAGTAAAGATGATCCGGTGTGGACCGCCCTGGCCGACAGTCTACTGTAGCTTGACTGAGGAGCAGGTCTTGACGCTCGTTCTCTTGCACTTCTACCTCCCGAAAGTACTCCCAGAGCACGAAGAGCATCTCTATCACAACCCCGGGATCACCATGCCGCACCTGCCAGCCGCTGCCAGCACTGGAGTAGGATGTGACTGTAACTGACTGTAACTGTCGTTAAGGTCGTAACTGTCTGTAACTGTCTGTAGCCTGTAGCTGTAGCTGCTTATGATCTCTGCTGGCCTGATGGATGAGCTGCGCCACAGTCTCTTGTTCACGTCGGAATGCAATGGGATCATGCTCCAAATGCCTCTGGCAGCAATGCTATGCTGTGCTGAACTCATTGCAGCTTTGCCGCTTTGAGCCGTTACAGACATTCGTGCCTTGGACGATCGACTTCGTCGTCCTGGCCCATCTCGTCTTGAAGCAGCGTGTCCAGCAGCCTGCAAATAGTCGAAAACACGGCGACGGTGCCATGCAACTATGCAGAAAGCCGGCAACTTCCACAAGCTACAAAGCTTGGGGCATTGGCGCGAACAGCTGCCGCAAAGTCTCGCAGTCGTTCAGGCTGACCTATGAGTTTCACAGCTGTGATTTGGATGCCGAAGCTCTGCCGGCCCTATGCTTCGGACGTCCCCAGCCAGTATGGCTGTTACCTGACAGAGAATGGTTTCATGAAAACTCAACAAACTTCATGACTCAGCGACTCCTGTCCACGGTGTCTGAGGCTGATGCCATTGCCATAGCTGCTCGGCCTTGCATCGGCCGTGACAGCATCGCCTGGGCGTTTCCATGCGTTTCCTTGGCGTCTCTGCTGTCGGTGAGGATGTGAGGTTGCTGCCAACAAGGATGCGTGGTACGGCTGCTGCAGGACAGCCGAGCACAGCCCCTCCTCACGGTGTTTTACCCCCACAACAAAAACATCCCAAAGTCGCAAAAAACCATTCGCAGCTTGTGCAATCTTGAATCCCTGGTTTGAACCGTGCGGGCGCCTTCGTGAGAGGTGCAGCCATGAGGTCCACTACTGCCTCTGATCAGAACATGCAAGACAGAGTGCTATTAGCGCATACGGTGCATAGTGTAGCTTAGCGTAACACTTAGCACGGCACAACAGAACCCATGTGTGCCTGCGCAAGTTGCGTGTCCAACACTTGCTCCTCCAGACGTTCAGCCTTCTCACCTGGCCAAAGATTGGATGAGGAGACGCAGTAAGTCTAAGAAAGGTTCAGAGAAGTGAAACAACTCCCTTTTGAAGCCTGAGAGAACAAAGCCTTAGAAGATCTTGGCAGTTTAGTTTAGAAGTTTAGAGCGCACAGACCGAATCCGAATCTGGATTCGGGAAACTTTCGGGATTCTGGGTCCGAAGCATGAGACGCCTGAGTTCTGGAGAAGGTCAACGGTACCCTCCAAGATGTCCAAGCACGCCTGACCTGTGTGTGCAGCATGTCGACCAGCCACTTCTCAGATTCGACTCTCGATGATCGTGCAGATGACAGAAAAATTCTCGCAACAAAGGCAAAAAGGGCTGGCACCAGGCTGCAGAGCCAAGACGAACATGCAGAGCTCCTGGCGCAGCATGGCGCAGCACTTGCATTTGCCGCCAACGGGCTTTGGTCTTGGACCTACGGCCTACTGCACTCCATGCACTCCATGCACTCCATGCTCAGCCGCAGACCAGCTGCAGCGTGAGCAGGGAAATCAACGGAGTTGCCTCATCTGAGGCCATAGACAAATAGGGTGTCATAGTCATAGACCATGGATCACCTGCCCCTCCCTGTAAACACTGTAATCCTGTAAACAAGCAGTCATTGCCTCAGCGCAGCATGAAAGGGGCCCAACTGTGGTTCGCGGTCTTCCATGCAACAGCTTCAAGTGTGCGTGAAATAGACCAAACCTGGCATAGCCCACAGCCAGCAGCCAGCTTGTCTTGAGCAAGGTGGGTGCAAAGATGTGCAAAGCTGGTGAATCTGGTCAGGAAAGCACATCCACAGAACTGGAAGAATCGCCTGGGCGGCTCGGGCTTGCTTTGCAACGTTTACAGAATTCCCCCCGCTCCTTCCACGAGGTGCACCGTCAGCCGTCTGAGCAAATGCTGCCTCGAGAGTACTGGATTCATTCAGGGTTCCATCGCAGCACTGAAAGTTTTTGGCTCCACACGTCAGCTGAACCAAATCAATGGACCAGTGGACCTACGATTCCATGAGCACGAGTGCCAACACAGGACATTTGGAGGACTTTGCTTCTGCTTGGGAGGACTGCAGTGCAATCAAACCCAATGCCAAGTTAATCAGGAAAGCATTTGTTGATGCGTCGTTTGGGCCTGGGCACAGGTGGCCAGGATCTTCTCTAGAGTGTGCAGATGATAGCTGTCTGGAAATACCTGAATCAAGTCTGGGCGAACTTTTCGGGGCTGCTGAACCTTCCGAGGGGGCCGGCCTCAATAATCAGCTGCAGCAGATATGCCTGGACACCGCAAAGGACCAGCACTTCAAAGAGGGCAAACAGGGCAAATGCCAGTCTGCCACAGGACACGAGCAAAACATAGCAAAGGACTGCAACGCACAAAGGCGCGCAAAGCATGGACAGTACTATTTCAATCCATGCTTTCGTAATTCGCGTCTTGAAGGCAATCGCTGACAAGGTCTTGCAGGGCAGCCTCAGCAAAGACATAGCTTAGCTCGCATCGCCACAGCCTTGCGTATCTTTGCATATCTTCGAGTGCTCACGCAGAAAGCTGGGCTTGCCGCAGCCAGACTGGCCGGAGTGATGCCCCAGCTGGCACCTCAAATTTGCGGCAAAAGGTCGACACACAACACCGCCTCAGCTTAGAAGAACTCCGAGTCTGGAAACCTACCAGGTAAGACTGCTTCAAAATCTCAACATCTCAGCTCAACAAAATGTCCGTCAACATTTCTGAGCGAAGGCATGGCACAAAGGCGCACAATCTCTGGATCATCTGGTTGGGCCTTTCAGCTGAACGCGGGTCACCAGCAACTGCGGTCACCAGTCAAGACTACCTTTGCTTTCTGGCCTCATCCCTTGCAAGCAGGCGCGTGATCAATCCTCGCTCCTCTCCAAGCATCTGTTCGCATTCAGAGCTCACGGGTATTCCCCACATTTCTGCCGCTGGTCCTCCGGCGAGAAGAATGCAGCAGCCTGGGACGTCGACGAAGGGCACAACCTCAACGTCGAAGGACGGAGTCCGCAAAGCTCGAACATGGCCGAACTGCCCGGGGGCCCAGCACACGTGTAAGAGCCAAACATGCCAAAATGAGTTAAGGCTAAGGAATATTCAGGAAGGCAGCGCCGCCACATCGCTCAGGAATCGCCGCGCCGTCCCAGGTGGCACAATGGTCCTGTCCGCCTCAATGAACTCAGACTGCTTGACACAAAAGAATAAAGCATGATCTAACTGTTGATGACATTGATCTACAACAGAAGCCTGCTCCAAAGCCTCCAGCAGTTGTTGAAAGACCTCCCGAGCCCGATCAAGGAAGCAGGCGGTAGGATGCTGTAGGCAGAATGTATTTTGCCCCATTCTTCGGCTACTCCTCTATAACTCCATAACTGGTGTTTTTGCGGCAGTGTGCCTCAGCATCCATCTCTCGGCCAAACGCACGCTGCACAGCTTCGGTGCTCATGTGGATGACGAGATCGGCCTTGTCCTGAACGAAAGCAGCAGCATTGAGGCAGGAACTTCGCTTGGATGCTGCAGATTCAGCTTCAATGTTGCAGTGTCTTTAGTATGGGACCCCTCCCCCCCTCAAACAAATTTGGACTCTCTATAAAACATGGCGCGGCGACCGCCCAATCACATTTTTTGGGGGGAAACCATCCTAACGCCTCAGACCCTGCCCAAGGCCCTCAAGGCCTCAAGCTTCTTCAGGACCTTAGGGCCTAAAGCTTTCCTCCCTTGCTAAAGACCCCCCTCGCCGGGCCTGTGTACTTGGAGGGTGACGCAACAAATATATTAACGTGGGTCGGGCTGGGCCGTGGACTACCTACCACGAAATTTGTTCGGGGCGGCGTTTCTTGGTGAAATTGGCTTTAAATGGAACTGGCCGGGGTAGTCTCCGGGCTCTGGCTATTTAAGATTCGCAGAGCCCAAGGCCCTCAGGGCCTCAAGCCTTACTGCGTAAGCCCTTAACCCTAAAGACAAACCCTTAAAAAACAACCATCCGGAAAAAGAAATAATAATAAAGACTTGTGAAAATAGCAGGTTACCCCAACGAACTGAGTTCGCAGAATAAGACTTAAAGCTTGTGATTATAGACCCCATCAATACTGAAATCAGTGCAACATTCTGAACATGTGTCACACATTCTCGGTGACACTCTGCGCGTGTGTGTTCGTGTCGTAGCGTGTGTGGTCAGAAGGTGGACTCTTGTTTGGAGCCTTTTGGAGCCCTGCTTTCAAAGCGCCTCTGCAGTGCGCCGCCGTCGCAGCTCTTTGTCGAGCTCCCGGATACTTCGAATTTCTGCAGAAGAAGAGTGCCAACAATGCAAAGAGCGCGAAGGAGCGAAAGCACATATCCGACATTTCGACTTTGTAGCTGCCTGTTTGGATGCCGCCTCTTGCGGCTTTGTCCAGTACAGTTTTTGACCTCAGCTAAGCAACTCCACCCAATTCTAGCAACGGACCAAGTATCAAGACCACGGCACGCCCGCTCACATCCAAGTCTCGGACAATGCGTTCGTTCCCGTTGTCGCCTTGCTCCTTTCCACCTGCCTGTCGCATGCTGCGTGGTGATCGTGAGATATCGTGAGACACTGTCAGCCGCTGTGCAGGACCAGGACCTGTTGAAAGCAAACTTCGCAGGAGCGTTGAACTCGTTCTTGTGAATAGGCTTCAGATGACAACCAGCCACGCGAGAACGAAACCTTGGTACTCATGAGGGCTCTTTTACGCTTGCTCTCCCAAAAACCCTGTTACAGAGTGAAGGCTTTGCTGTATGACTGCTATGTGGAAAGCTCGTCGTAGCTCGAGGTTGTCGTGATGGCACGCTTCTTGGCATCGTCCACGGTATCCTGGCACGATTGCTGCTGCAGCTGTTCCCTAAAGTCTGGCGAGGGCAATTCAAGTTTATCGACGTGACCACCTGCATTCATTCAAAGCACAGCAACCAACGCGCATGCTCTGAGTGGCTCCTTCCATATGTTCTGTCATTCTACTAATAGCGACCCCTGTGGAAAACATGGGACTGCGAACATGTGTTGGTTGAGCTGTGTTGAGCTAACCCAGACAAGACCGGATGGCGAGGCCCTCTTCCAGTCTTCTTTCATGGCATCAGCAACTTCCTCTTTCATCTTATCAAATCTGAACGCGCCAGCATCGTACCTGCCGAGGCCGTCTGCGGAAAACGGGATTGTTCGGCAAATACAACCACATGTGCTGTCCGAACAAAGGACTCATCAGCGACCCATCACATGACTCGAATGACACTTATGACACCAGCCGCAAGGTTGCTACAGCAAGCCGAAGGCACTGTTGGAGCCGATCTTCTTTTATGATGGGCATTTGCCCCGCTACTCTGGGCACAAGCGTCTGGTGTGCTCACAGGGGAAAATTATGCAAATGCTGAATTCGCTGACTCTACGTTTTCAGCCGAGATGTCGGAGGTGCAACCAGGCGTAGAAGGTGCTCTGACATCATGGCGATCGGCACACTCCCTGCAGTGAGGCAGTGAGGCTCATGATATCTCATGCAGCTCGACCTGGCCAGCTGCATCCTCGCATGCAGGGATCAGCCACAAGAGTTCGGGCAACACGACCTGGCACACAGAAAACATCAAGCTGACACGTCCAGCACTGAAGCTCACTTGCAACATCAAAAGCGACACCTCGGTGTAGAGGTCCTGCGTAAGTCCATTCACTCGTGCAATTTGCATGAGGTGAGCACCTGGTGACACGAACTCCCTGTCAAGTTCAAAGATTCAAAGTTCATCAACCGCGCCATGCGAGGCTGGCCTATGAGCAGCCTTAAAGAGTGGCGATGGCCATCAAGTTGCCATACCTCGCGCGGGGGGGATCCGTGCAAAAGCAGGTTGGATCAGGAGCAATCGCTCGGCTTCTCGAGGCCATGGCTGATGGCTCTGGTTGGGCCTGCAGTTCATGAACTCTAAGACTCTAAGATGAAACTGATACCACGAAACTTCTTTATCTATATATTCCTTTATTTATTCCTTTACACATGCACTTTTGGCTGCGCATGGCCTGTGTCAGGCGAAGGCGATGCCAAAGGCTGACAGCTTCCCGAAAGGTTGTCAGAAGGAAGTTCCTGCGCTGAACATTGCACCGAGAAAAACGAAGTGGTCTTTTCTGATGATCCCTTTTCTGATGAGCTCCGCACAAAGCACCAACAGCTCCGTCTTGAAGCTTGTGAAGCTTGTCCTCTGTTGTGGTCATTCCGTTCAGGAATATCCGGCAACCAACTTTCGAGCCCCGAAGTCGATCATGAAACCAAATTTGGGCCATTCGACTCAGCTCGGACCAGTGTCCTTGACCACCTGCAACAGGAAGTATCGCAGAAAGAGGCCTCGCACTGGATGCTGTACCTTCACGGGACACGGTCGAATTGCTCCGAGCGCCATCCTACCGCCTGATTTAGCGCACGGCTCCCACCATCGACTCCATGTCGCGCAGAATTTCATCGGGTGTCTCGTGTGTTTCGTCGGAGTTAGGAGCCAGCATCCGCCTCGGCAGCAAGTCGACACATCTCGAGCATCGTCTCGGGCAGAATGTGCCACCATGTGCCAAAGCGCTGAGTTCCACACACGACACCAACAGTCACAAGCATGTAGAGCCGTGGCAGGCAGTTACCCTCGTACTGGACAATCTCGAATACCTGGTGAGCAATAAAGAGCTACGACGTGCTTGGATTTTCCAGCAAGGGTTCACGCCCGCTCCTCCTCCAAGGAGAAGCCGTGCCTCACCAAAACTCTGTGCCACCGCTGGGAATCGTTGACTGCTCGCAGACCGCTGGCCTCTCTGTCTCTTGGAGATAAGCTCCAAGGTGCTGCAGCTCCACGAACACCATCGAGTACCTCAATCGGGGGGGGGGGGGGGGGGGGCAGGGATTCTTGTTGTGGAAGTGAGTTGGGAGAATCTTCACTACAGACCGGCGATGATTTCCTGAGCATGTTGCAGTTTATAGTAGCTTGGCGGCGATAGACGACAAGATCGAAGCCTGCGCAGCAACACAGGGCCCGTTGAAGTTTTTTCCGACACTCTGGCGAAGGAAAGCTTTGACCAAGGGCTCCACTCATTAGCCATGCACAGGGAGTGGCGAACAGCACTGTAAAAGTCCCCATGTTGCACCGCCTGGGACTCGACTGAAGTGTAAAGCTCACTCGGACCTATGAAGAAATGTGAAGCCATGCGTTTTTGCCACTACGTCAACCCACAGCAGGTGCTGCGTGCTCACGGAGCTTGGATTGTATCTAATGCAGCTCCAGTCCTTCCGCAGATAGAAGCGATGCTCTGCAGCAAAGCCCACGGCTTCTCTCAACAGGCTCTCCTGTCGGAAGCCCGCGAGGCGAACACATGAAGCACGCGAGGCACACAACTTCATCACCACACTTTTGGCATGAATGCCTCATCAACGCCGGGCGCGAGTGCGGATTGCATCTAAGCCTGGCTACAACAGTTTGCGTTCACATCGTGCATCAGTGCATCAGTGTCAAAAGCATCCAATGGGTCCCAGAGGCTTCAAAGCCACAAGTTGCCGCACACATTCTGTTTGTGTGAGTCGGACCTGCTCTTCAATGCTCCTCGGAAGTGAGGCTCCTAAAGAGCCGCCCCACGCCATAGTCATCATGTGAAGTGTTGACCGAGTCTAGAATAGCTCGTCTGATTGTTTAACATCACGGTCACTTGTACACGGCATATGCTGCGTTGAAGTCGACTTCAAACGTTGTGTGGACACGTTAGGGATGCTCTCAGATTCTGTTGACTTCGCTTACTGGCATTCTGCACACTGTTGCTGCCAATCGACTGTTCTCTGACAGGACTGCTGACAGCCAAGCGCTGTCTTCCGATTGAGTGAAACCCAGCAAGATGGCTCGAGCTCACGCCGCATCACCGAGGATAGCTTTCGTCAAGCTGACTGACTGGACAATTGGCAGACGCTGTACTTTATCCTGCACACCGCGTTGTCCGATGAAAGTGGCCCACATGGCAATGACAAACAGTTAGGCCGGCATGCGCATCGGCATGAGGAATTTAAACTTCGACGAGAACACTGCCAGCCTGAGGTCGCTCCTCTGCCGGATGTGGAGTCGGAACTGAAGATGCTGAGAGATTCTGTGTACACGAGGCTGTGATACAGCTTCCCTTGCGCCGGCGCAGCAACGCGTGGCCTTCTATGGGGCGATTCTTAGGACTGATTCTAGCCGTCTGGCCGCCCTGTGCCTCGCTGGCAGGAGAACGGCAGGAGAACGTCACGCGGTTGCTTTAAGCTGCAGATGCTGCGGGCACTGGAAGCATGCGGTGAAACCCTACACCACCACCCACATTCACTGAATTCATGCAGCTCAAAAATGCATTAACGATTCACTCAAATCACTCAAAGTAGTCAACTGGCTCAGATCAGGCGGGAGCCCTCCAAGAACTCTTCCACCCAACGCTCTGCCTGTCAAGCTGACGTTTACAGCACATTGACGGAGTCAACAGGTTGAATGCCCACTTGGGCCAAAAGAGAGGCCTTGAGGCGTGGAATCGACGGTGCTGGAACTTTCTTGGGCACAGGCACCTGAAGCAAGTCTGCGAAATCTGCCAGTTCAGCACGTAAACGTGGGAGACGGCAACATGATTCTAGAGGATCCAGCAATCGAAACGAAGACCGAAGACAGTCTTAAAAAGCAGTATTGTCATTGCCCTTCTGCAAGCGAGTTGCTCCCGGAACCGCTTTTGCTTTCATGAGCTCTTGCATATCAACCTCCACACAGGGGTGAACATGCATGCCCACACTCTGCTCCATTCTACAGCAAGCGAGCTCGTTGGGCAATCTTGATTGGCATCATGTTCCCACTACTGTCGCAGACGAGGGTCGGAGCCAATGGGCTTGTCCAGGGCAGCCTGCTTAAAAGCACGCTCCTCGCTCCAGGCCTGTTCACCGCGGGACTCGCTAAGTGGTCTGGCCACATCTCCACTGCTTATCGCTGCTCCGATGACTCATTGCATGTCACTGTGCAGTTCCACAGCAAGCCAACCTTCTTACTATTGCAGCGCAGGCAGCCTTGTACCTGGTTTGCACGTAGGATTTGAGCTTCCCGGACCACCCCGTAGCCTGGCTGCTCTTCTGAAGCTTGCATAAGCTTGCGTGATCTCGAGTCAAAGTGTCACTCGCAGAAGGCCCAGTTGATTGGTCTCGAGCTAGATACAACAAAACTTGCAAGAAGGACCCGAGCTTTCTGCTTTTCATCGCTTTCCCCTTTTTTGGCTTCGCTCGCAAGCAGCTCTGCTTGCTTGGCAGCAAGTCGAGCCCTCTCAACTTCTGCGTTGCCTTGCAGTAGAAGCTGTTTTCTGCTATGGGAGTATTCCAAAGAGAGTTCCAAAGATGTTGCAAAGGCAAGGTGGTTCAGGGTGACGGTTCAAGCTTAAGCTCACGGCGAAACTCCTCGCGGATCTTCAAAACCTAGGTGGTCGGTCGACTCGCTGTAAGAATCACGAAAGCAAGTACGAACAAGTCAACAAGTAGACCAAACCGCTCAATCTCGACTTGACTCAGGCAGCTGTCGGATGGACTGGGCACAGTTTGCGCAGCTGAAAGATTCAGAGTGCGGCTTGGCTTGCCCAGTGTGACACCTGCTGGAACCTTCTCAGCAGGACCTCATCATGATGGTCCACGAGCCGTTTCAATGACAAGAGAAACAAGGAATCAAGAAATTGTATTCTGCAGAGTCCGCAGGTGCACTGGCATCACTGGCAGTTGGGCCTCTGGATCTCTCATGTGCTTAATCCTCCGTTGAGCTGCAGAGAGAAGAGAAGTCCCCGTGCGTGTGACGTTATTGATAACAACTGTGCATGGAGGCTTCTATCCAGAAATGCTTTCAGAAGTTCCTCTTTGCACGCTCCAAAGCTTCGTCAGTGCTCATCACTGTCTTTTTGGCCTGCACAGCACGCATAAGCTGCATAAACACACGAGAGCACTTGCATTGGTCTGACCTGTGTTGTAGTGGTCTGGGTTGGGGAACATTTAAGTTTGGGCCCTGTTTGGGAACCACTGCACTGTTCAATCTGGTGCAAGGTAGATGCCTTCATCTTTCCCAGGATGTCAATGCTTAGCCTCTCAGCTTCCTGTTTCTTTTTCGCTTGGGTCTCCTGCAAAGACATGGAATGACTGTAAAGGAGACACAATCGCTGCATGGCTGAATCGCGCTGCCTCCCAGAGCTCCGCCTCCCTCTGCTCATCCTCTCAGCCCACTTTGATCAAGCGTTGCGCGGAGAACCAACACAACACACCACAACTCGAAGCCTCCTCCGTTCCAGGAGTGACGCGGTACAACTGCCAGGCATGTGTGCAATTTGCAGGTGAGGGGCGAGACTTTGGCCGAGGCTTGTGACTGCAAAGGGGATGCTTCCCTTCACCCATCCTCAACTCCTTACTGGCTACCTCCTCAACCCCATACTGGTACTTGTAAGCAAGCTTGCAACTTGTAGCTTTCCAACTCGCAAATTTGAGTTTCTGGATGTCTGGTGAGTCTGGTGTGTGACACTGCTGTCGCTACTGCTGTCGAAGCATGCTGAATGCTGATTGCGGGCGACGGCGACAGTTTAGGGCCTGCCGTCTGAGCTTGAGGGAAGGCTGAGATTGCAAAGGTAGCTGCTCGAAGTCAAGCCTTCAAATGGCCCCTTTCGGCCCTGTCGATACTTACCAACCTACAACAAGGCAGCGCCAGTTTCTGGGCCAGGACAGGGGGGGAAGGGGGAGGGGAGGGAGAGGAGGAGAGGGGGGAAGGGGGACGGGAGGGAGAGGGGGGAGGGGAGGGAAAGGGGGAGAGGTGGGGAGAGGGGAGGGGAGGGAGGGGAGGGAGGGGGGGGAGAGGTGCGGGGCGGGAAGGGAGAGGGGGAGGGGAGGGAGAGGTGGGCCGCAGTCGCCTTGCACCTCTGAGCTTCCAGACAGACAGCCTTTGCAGACACTTGTGGCGTCCAGTGGCCGAACCGGAAGCGGAGAGCCGCGCATCATGCACGGAGCATTCGTGCAAGAACACACGCAAGAACATCTCTTAAGGCCGGCTAAAGCTCACCAGAGGGAAACGTCCAAGTGCCACATGTCAAGAGTGGACAGCGCCTCGTCTTCCTCCTCTGGCGAGAGCAACTTTGCTCGTTCCTGGTGCTCGAGAATGTGCCGCAAGGTCTTAGTCGCATGATGTTGGAATCCTGCCTCTTCCTTGCATTCAAAGAACTTCGGGCGGAAGTCAATCTGAACGCGCAAGCTGCCACCTTGGTGGTGCTGAAGCCCTGGCTTGAAGGCTCGGGATCCCCAGTGCCGAGTCTTTCACGACAGCTCAAGCGAAGAGTCCGCACCACCTGAGGGGACACAATGCTTTGAGTCTATCAAGTTGTCAACAATATTCAATTCAGCAGTGTCAAGAGCATGCCGGGAGCTCCGTGACGGGCTCGCTGCCCCAAACTGCAGCTCTCAGGTGGCGGTAGCGAACCACAACACACCCAAGCCTGGCTTGCAGAGAGGCAAATATCAGCAGCATTCCGAGGCTGATGTCCAATCAGACGGCATCACGGAAGGTGTGTGCGCGGCACCAGGGGTTCGGGCCTTGCATGTGCCATGGTGTGCCGTTGCACTGACCTGAATTGGGTCCTTCTACCACAGTCAAGTTTGGCTCCGTGCACATCACATCCACTCCGAGCCAAGACCTATCCCGTGACGATTTCATGCAGATCAACGCTATTTATTGTCAACGTATCAAGGCTGTGGATTGTCAAGGACTGTCAAGGTATCGAGGGGGCCTCACGCAGGTTGGAGACTTCGTTCCACCGTCTGTCTGTCAGAGCGAGGCCATCTTCTCCCTGTCCGAAGGGGGAGCAAGGAGGCTGATACATGCGGAAGCATGCCGATACAGCTTTCACTTTAAGAGTGCAATGATGTGCAATGACTGCGCGGGCTGTGTGTTTTCAGGAGCCGTATACTGTAAGAACATCTGCAAACTGCGAGCAAACTGAAAAAACCCGGATGGCCCTGGACGTCGTGGCATGTCATGGCCCAGTCGGGGTCCTTCACCTGTTTCTGCGAAAACTTCAGATCCTCTGTTGGCCTTGGCTCTCGTGCTGGCAGTATCAGCCAGTAGGCAAGGATAGGCAAGGTCACCATGCATCGGTACCAAATTCTGCGAGGGCCGCAAGTCGCAAGTCGCAAGTTGCAAAAGAAGCTTCAAGCTCCGTGCTCAGTTCCGGTGAGCTGTGCCATGGCAAGCTTTCGCAAGCGCAGCACCTGCCGACGTCGTGCAATTGCAAGTCATTGGCCATGCACAACCTGTTATAGCCGAATGGCAGGATGATGAACGAGGGATAACGAGCCACGATGCACGCAACGCGCTTCTTTGGAGGACAGCCACCGCTGTAACAGGCCTCTGAGTCCTCCTCCCTATCCGCTCGCTTCATAAGCCGCTGGAAGGATTCCTGCGACGTCGCTTGAAAGTGCTCACTCGCGTTCTCGTTTCTCTCTATCACACATCACGCTAACCCTCCTGCAGCGCAGAGGTAAACTGCGGCTGCTCCTGATGCAGTGTCCTCCCAGAGCAGGCAAAAGACAAAATATTCAATAGATTTAGTTGCACAGTGTTGGAAACTTCCTGGCATCTTCCAACCTTGTGACGAATCAGTGCAGCAGTCAAGCCAAGGTCAAGACTTGCCAGTCACAGCTTCCATGTGCGAGAGATTCTGAAGCTCTACCTGCAAAATGTTCGCAACAGCAGTTGGTCACTCGACATCGACCCCACTCTTTTGATGGTCGGGTTGGGCTCCTCGTCCAAACCCAACGCGGCTCCATCCATGACTTCTTTGGTGTTCTCACCGGGGGCGGCAACCTTGCAACATGCCGGTGTCTGTGCTTTCTGGCAAACCCACAGCATCATTCAGTTAAGCGAGGATTGCCCCGAAAGGCTCGAACCACCCAGGCCACAAGCACAGCGCTCGGGTCCACCCGAGTCGTGTCGAAGCGGAAAACTTCATGCCTTATTGCCAGCAACGATTGACATAATATGCGCAACGGTGTTCTCACACAAATCATCGCCAACAAACTACAATAGCACAAGCAGCAAAGCTGTACTTCTCAGTGCATGACCACTCCGGCGATGAATTTTGCAAGACGCACGAAGTGAACGCAGCCTTTTCGTCGAGGATCCGAAACATGCTCAGGGTTAACTTGAGTTAGAGCTATTTAGCGCCATGTAAAATATTATGGAGAAAGTGGAGGTTTTCCGATCAAAAACAAAGAAAATAGAGGTTTCCGAGTAAAGTAAAGAGAATTAGCTTACAGCACCAAACTCGTAAAACATCCCACTAACACGACAGAAATAACAAACAATACCTCTCGTTTTGAGCGGCATGTCATATCCTCGGACGCATATTTCGTTGACGAACTGCATTCACAGAGTCGCAGACCTATGATGGACCCAGTGGACCCGCCTGTGGCCGGGCTCCCGTCTGCGTGCGCAGCTGGAGGTTCACGTAAGCATTGACCTTTCGAGCAACTCACGGGAAACACCGACGATCATCGACGCGAAGCCCATGTGAAGCCCTCCAACTTGAAGAGTGAACCCCGTCAAGACACAAAGCCCGTCTTGCCCTCAAGGTAGAGGTCGGTTGCCTCGCACAGCAGGCACTGAAGGGCTTATGCGGGATTGCTGACTTGCCTCGAGGACGGACACCATCATGTGGCCAACGGCCTGGACGGATCCTCCTTGCGCCTCCAGGATCACAGTCTCACAGCTTCTTCGGGAGCGCTGCGCTTACCATCACGAGCGACATCGACTGCTCTGCACCGCTACGCCGCTACGCTTTCACGTTCCGAAGCTGGGGCGCAGGCAGGTTCGTCGCTTCCCATGATGCCATCAAGAAGGATGTCCTCAACAAGGCGAACCCCATGCGAACTCTGGACATCTGAAGCAGCTTACCAAAGAGCCTTGGTGACAGCAACCACGTCAGGCGGATCTCGGCGTCTCTGCGTGATTTGCAGAGCAGTGTCGCCGTCCTGCATTCGCGATCTGAGTTTCAAGAAGAAGGGTCGTCTTTCGAGTTCAAGAACCACATTCGGTTTGGGTGTCATGGGAATGTATGCCTACACATGTTCTGGCAGATTTTAGCTGCTGTTTGTGGTGGCATGCTTGCAAACGGGGCCTGAAGACTTTTAGATTGCTTGTTGTTGCTTTTTGAAGGTAACGCAGTTGTGCGAACATGCCTTGAAAATCTGAGGCATCTAGCATGACCATTCTTGCTAGTAGGGCTTTGCATTCCAAGTTGCAAGCACCGACGGCTGAACGCCCAGGTTGGACAGCATTGGGGCCATGATGCGTTTACGGTTCTCATGCGGGAAGTGGCCTGGTATCCCCGCAAACTTTTCACTGTGACGTCCGTGGTAGTTCTCACAGACAACAGTCAAAAAGGATGTTTAAAAACAATAGCAGAAGCGGGCTTTTCAAAACCCTGTGGTGCTTGGGCGGCTTGGGCTCTTGGGCAAATGCGATGGCTCAGTAGTTGTACGGTCGTTCTATTGGCTCAGGATGGTGAGAATACCGCGTGTTGCTACGATACTTGAAAGGAAACACCGCCTACACAGGTATTTACAAAGCGGGATTCAGGGTCTGGCCTTTTGGGCATTGGGGGAAGTTTTGTTGCCGGTAGAAAACCTAAGGCCTGCTGGCCTGCGTTTGGTTCTGATCTGCCAAGTTATGGGGCGGGGAAGTTCGTCAAGGGGTTCTCACTTGAGGGCTAAACAGTACTCCCAACATCTACCAACTGTGCTTAGAGTCTCTCTCATCTCGTTCGAGGCAGGCAAGTACTGGTACTCTGCTACATGAATCTGTCATTGTTCGAAACTCACTACATCGCGCTTGTAGTCCGCGATTTTAGCACATGTCGCTGTTCTTTGTTGTCGCAGAAGTCTTAAGAACTCATCAGCCAGACTCCCCTTAAAACAAGTGTAGGGCTCATGACGCTGCTGACATTGACGGCTTTATGAGAGTTCACCGTCAGTACTTTACAGATACGGCACAGTGGCCAAGACAACGTATGACACCAGCAAGGATACGAGAACAAGCGGCAAGAACAAGCACCAAACCATTGCTAGAAGAGCTGATCAGCGGTGGGTCCCAATTGCGGGCATCGATCTCGGCTGTGAAGTCCACCAGCACACGGACAACTTCCTTCCACATCGTGGCATCATTCCAATGGCTCGTGCACACACTGCAAGCTCACACTTTGCTCAAGATCACTATTCCGAACATGCCAGCTTTGCATCTGCTCCACGAGCACAGGCGTGCATCAAAGGGGTCCAGCCCTCAGCGAGGAGTGGCGAATGGCACCAGACTTTGTACAGACATTGTACTGGCACCCCCTGAACCGTACCTTGAAGTCCTTGGCATTCGCATCGAACCCAAGATCGAGCAAGCACTTCCTTAGGCATCGCCGAGAGCCCCATGCAGTATCTTGAATTGCCTTGGCTGAGAAGCCAGAAGCTGAGGGGCTGTGCATCGTAAGAGCCTCGTCCTCCATGGCAGCCCAGTGCACTGCTGTGAAGCCATCGCGATCCTTTCAGTGAAAGGCTTTCTGACAGTAGCAGATACAAACACCTTGATCTTATGTGCCATGTTCTGCCACCGGCATGCTTGCCGCCTGCCTTCCCTGCGGTGTTGGACCCGGCCAAAACCAGCGATGGCAGCAGCTGCCAGTGCCTGTTTCCGCAGCTTGGCAAAACGCTCTGATCAGCCTTGCCGTTTCGACATTGATGTCCAACTGTGGCAGGAAGGCCCTTCTCTGGCAGCCACACAGAGGGCGTTCACCCTGAACACCACTCATGCGGCTCTCGCAATGCATGCGTGCACGCTTTATATGCAAGGACAGCCATATAGAGCCATACGGTGCCATACATTGCTCAGCATACCCCCACAAAGCCCGCTTAGCCGTCTGCCCTGCACGGTCTTCATGGTTCACATCCAATGGCGGAAAGGCCAGGTCCGGGTGCTGGCCCTCGACACGACGGCTCCGTGACACTCTGTTCTCAACGCAGTTTAGCTCTGCTTTTAGCTCCAACTCGGGCCTCCCTGTTCTGCAGAAGCAAGTTGACCAGATCAAGGTGCCCAGAAACGCAGGCGTGCATCAGCAAGTTCCATCCTTCAACCATTTGTGTCGGAGCCAGGCAAGTAGAAGAAACGGGGAGAAAATTTCTGTCGTCTCGCAGCCCAACTCGGGTCGAGCAGCGGTTTGCGGGGGGTTAGACATTGTTAGATGTGGATGTGTGATGCGCACACTCCTCAGAGTCGCAGCCACTTTCGGAATGCTTGTGCGTGACACCTTTCATTACGATCATGAACTTCATCTGCCGAATCAAACAGTTTGATTCCTAAACACGTTTGGCCAACTTTAGGAACTTTAGCTTGTGGAGCATGACCACATTAGAACTTGGGTGGCAGACAGTTTTCCAATTGAAGGCTAAAGCAGAAAGAGGTGCTGTCGTCTCTCGTTTTCGTAAGTCGTAACAGTGCGCTTTTGTGAAACCCGGTTTGTTGAAAAGGTTGCGGCACTTACAGAAGGATGTCCGTCGTTTCCAAGAGCATTCAAACAGCACCATCTTGTTGCGTTGGTGCTGTGCGTCGGTGACATCCACTGCAGACAGGAAGCGCACATCGAATGCTTTGACCACTTTGAAAGCACTGTCCTTGAGAGTCAATGGCTCCTGCATCGCAGGGGCCGTTCCTCCCTGAGGCCCCATGGACCAATGCCACCACGCAGGCCATGTGCCCACCCCGCCTTTCAGCAACTTCAACTTAAATAACTTCAACTTTAAAAGTTCAACAGTTCAACTCAATACTCAACAAACAATTGGCGCTTTGAGTGGCAAGGCATGGCAAGGCAGAAGCCGAAGCTATCTCGAGGCCCAAGCGCGGCATAGTGCAGAGGGGTCTCCCCGCGGTTGTTCAAGTAGTCCAGGGATGGCAGACGGTCGATGAAAATGCGCAGCACCTCTCTGCAAAGAAGGCAATGGGTAATATTAATAGATCATGCCGTGGTGGTAGCATGTGGTAGGCTAAGTGCTGGTAGCCTCCAGCCGGCCCCGCTCAGCAGCGGAATGGATCGCCGTGTCTCCGTTGCAGTCACCGAAGCTCGCTGCCTGCTGTCAACCCGGCTAGAATTATAGGAATGGCCGGGCCAAATGCCTCAAAGTCCAGATTGGCCAGCTGCTGAACGCACTTCGTGGACAGCTCGGCATTGGGTAGCTGCGCTGCATGGTGCACGGCGTTCAGGCCCTGCACTGTACATTCTGAGTTCCACAACGCATTCGCCACGAGCTGAGCCTTTCCCGCATACGAGCGCTGTGCCTGGGGATCTCTGGCCCGCAAGATGATCGCTGCATTCTTGTTTAGCTTCATCAGCAAAGGATAGACCTAGCGTGGTCACATCCCGCACCTCAGACATCCTCAGACCTCACAACTCCCAATGCCGAGGACCAGGCATCGGTCAACATCTGGGTTTCGATGGCGTAAATGACCACATTCCATCCCCTCTTATCCAGAACATCCAAATTCGACTTCTTCTCGACCTCGTGCCACATGTGCCACAGCGGAAGATAACCGGACTTTCAACGCGGGACCTGAATCGAATGGAAGCTATAAGCGGCGGACAATCTTGGAGAACAGTCGTCTGTTCCCTCTGTCCATCGCCAGCATGATAGGAGTTCGACCCTCACAGTCATAGGCATTCACACCTGCAGGTGCTGGGTTCTTGACTGACGACATGCCACCAAATGATTCATGCAATGGGTACCTAAGCTCGCAAGCAAGGTCGCGAGCAAGGTAAGGCTGGCACTGGCACCAGCTTTGAGAAGCAAGTTCGCCATGCTCTCGTCGCCCTCTTCCAGAGCTCCGTGCAGAGGAGTCCGAAAATACCTGTAATGCTGTAATGAGTTGAAGCATGAACCATCTGAAAAGTCTGCAAAGTGACCCAAAGGCAGCGGCTGGTCTGTGGCGTTGATGTTGGATCCGGCACGAAGCAACAGGTCTACGGTGTCCAAGTGCTCGTTGCAGGCTGCGGCAAAAAGAGGTACTTGGCCCTCCTCAGATGAAGTCACGTGCAGCAGTAGCAACGAGAATCTGCATGAAATGGAAGGGATGGATAAGGGGAAGTGGGCGCACAACTCACAAGTTGTCCAAAAGACTCTCTATGAACCACGTTTCGACACTTTACGACTACGTGTAACTTGTTGCATGTTCTTAGATGTAGGTGACGTATGTCTCCACTTGGGATGACGCCTTCTGCCTCATTAGCCAAGTAAGCCCCTCCACATTCCCCAAACCAGCGCTGGATACAGCGGGCTACTGGAGAGCTTCCGGGCTCTGAGATGGGAGGCCTGAGACCAAGCACGCGTTGGTCTGCGGTAGAAAGCTCTGTATGTTTTGTTCATCGGGGCCATTAGAGGATGCAGACTGTGCTCATAGCATTGTCGCTGTCGTGTGAGCCTCGAGAAGGGAGCGTTGCACAGGTCGGCTCACCATGCTCCGGTGTCACCGGTTGCAGAGGGTCGTGCAATTTGGAGTCCCCAAGCAACTGCCGTCTGGAGGATCGTGCCGGTGCAGCATGCAAAGCAAGCAGTCAAGATATGCGGTGATTGGAGCCGTGCTCACGAAGTTTGTAGTGATTGTGCTCGTCATTTTCTGAGATTGGCTGAATTGTGTGCACTTACTTCCATCCACAACGAATAGTGACAAATTCAAACGTCCATATGCAACTGTGGACAAAAGCCAAGGCCCTGGCTCGGTCAGCGAATCCCAAACTGGCTTTTGCATCCAGTAGACGGCTGACTGCGTAAGTTCTGCCGAACCGGGCCGCATAAAGTAAAGCTGTCCGTCGCTTGTTGTCATAGGCATCGACCTTGTCTATAGACGGGATCAACTCTGTCATTGCTTTCAAGCTCTTAGCAAGCTCAGCACTAGCCCACCTTGATCTTTGGCGAGGACAACAGGGCATTCAAGACCAGAAGCTCGATACGACTCTGGTAGAACTTCCACACCTCCGAGGCTACATCCAGTCCAGGCAGCATGCAGCATGCTTAGAAAAACTCAGCTCCCCGCAACATTCGGTGCCGTGGTGGAAATGCTTCCTGCCCCCTTCTCCCTGCTAGCACCTGGTGTTCTTGCTTTGGGGCAGTAAGGAGGTTATTAAACACTACAAGTACCACGCTCTCCACTTGTAGGTGTCGGGCTGGCCAAGTCTAGATCCATCCTGTCCTCCTCTTGCTCCCTCCGTTTCTTGTCAGCATCCTGGCCTCAGCATTCGCGTTAAAATCCGAGAACGGGGGGGGGAATCGCCCTCTTCAAGACTGCGAAGACTGTGGGACTCCCAAGATGCTGGGATGCTGTGAAGAGCCAGGGGGTCCAGCGCGCTTTCAGCCGACGTGCGCGATCCTTCTTGGATACCAGGTCCACCAAGTATAACCTTGTACGGATTCAACAGGCGGAGAGAGCTGGCTAAGAGAGTTTTAGATCCACCGGCTGCTACTGTAAGGAAAAACAAACCTACAAGCCATTAAAGATCTCTTGCAAATCACCTGAGCTGGTGGCTTCGGCGAGGAAGCTGCAAACATAAGTGGAGTGCAGCCATGTTTCTCCTTGAGGTCACATCATAGCGATTGACAAACTTTGCACGGCGAAGCCCGTCCCCCCCGGCGCGCCAAGCCACAACGGAGCTCAAAAATCGTGTGATCAAGTGCTTTTCAGTCCATCAGAGTCTATCACTTCTCCTTGCAATTGACATCGGCTGTGGATTGCAGCAGGAGGTTGATGCAAGCAACCTTGGCAAAGAGGGGCAAACTGTCCACAGAAACTGCAACCACTCCTGTGCTGGGAGCAAAAAGAGGAGACAGAGGAGATACAAACTGGCACTGTGCTGGCCACCGTGATGAGCGCAGTGCACGAGTACTGCACACATCTGAACACACTCGACATGGCATTTGGAGTTTCGCCTGCTGAGCTATTCAATCCTGCTGTTGTCGTGGTCGTGGTCTTAATTCAGGCCTCGTGGCGGTGATGATGCGTGCTTCCCCTCACTGGGGGGGCTGCCTTGTGCGGGGGACGGCGGCCCCTGCTTTTGACATCTGTGTTGTGTGAAGTGAGTGGAGCCCGAGGAGCCCCTCCTTTTCCCTTTATGCCTCGGGTGATGACGTTTTCGGAACCGGGGCGCGCGGCCAGCCTGAACTCCAACCGCGGAAGGGGCAATGACGTATCGGAGCCCCCTGAGAAGGCAGGAGGGAAATGGCTACCAACTAGCCACCCAGTTGGCAGTCACTCCTCAGTCACTCACTCACGAGCGATGCGTGCTGGTCGTGATACCGTGGGAGCTTTGCATGCTTCGGGTGGAGCTGCTTCCGTCGCTCCGAATGTCGGCTGGGGTTTCATGCTTCTCAGATGCGTCCCTGACTGGGCGCAGCATTGAATCCTCGACTGATCGGACTGTGGTTTCAACTGTATATCCTGCAAGCAATGAACCTGTAGTTGAAAATGATGTTTGAACATTATTGAAGAATGCAGAAAACACCGAGATGCTTTAAACGTGTGCCGCGTGACCTGCCCATGGAAGGCTGACACGTGCAGCGGAGTCCAGCCCATTTTCGTCTTGATGTCCTTAGCCAGATATAGCCAAATTGCCATGCGTCCCAAACCATTTGCAATGCTAGGGTCCGCGCATGACGTGCGCGCGCTCCAAGCAGTATCTCCACCTGACCCAGCTTCTTTTTCTCACATTCTGCAGCTGCATTCTAAATTCTGCAGAGGCCACAAGGAGATGTTGCGTGTTTGACTTGGGACAGAGCTGCTCGATTCTGGCCATGCTCCGCTGCCAAATGCAACGCTGTTCGGCCTGGCCGCAAAAAGAAGCATTCGGCAAAAACTCTGGCAAGCTCTCAGCGGCTCCGAAATCAGAGCTCTGGGCCATGTTGGTCAGGCGAATCGATGGCCAAGTGCCTTAGGTGCACAGGTTGACAAGAGCAACTACTACAGTAACAGAGCTCTCTGCACTGAGGATAATGCGGTGAACGAGTCATTTTCATCAGTGCCCATCGGTTGCCTGCGCCGACAGCGTCGGAGAGAAAAGCACATGCGAACACATGCAACAGGTACCAGGAGGCAGACCACTAGGCAGACCACTTCTGCGCACAAGGCGAGTTGGGCCTTTGATGGCAGCCTGCCGGAACTTTTTCAGCTCAGCCTGGACTCGCTCCTTGGCCCTGCAGTGGTGCAAGGTGCAAGCCCAAGGACGAGGTAGCAAGTAGCAAGCGAAAATTACTCATGACGGACGCATTGGCAGACTCTATAACCACGAAGAGTCCGCAACTTCGAGCCTCGAACTAGCTTCGGCCATCAATTTTCGTTCATCCTTGCAAGATGTCAGCACAAACGTATCGAGTCTCGAGGGGGTACCTGCCACATATCACATCCGACCGAACAGAATTTAGCCTCCTCTTCTTTATCCTCATCCTCCTCGTCCTCCTCCTCCTCGACTTCAGGCTCCTGAGACAAGGCAGCATGCCAACCACAACGTATTATCGAATTCTTCGGGATTCGATCCCAAATGCGCTGAAGTTGGGATGTCATGGTGACTGATACGCATTTCCATCATTCACTGACGAGGCTTTGTTTCAGTGCGCAATCATACTGCACCATGCCTGGTTCTCTTCTTCCTCGTCTTCGTCCTTCTGGTTGCCGTCCTGCGAAGCGAAGGCTGTGCCATGCGATTTCGTGAGAACTCGAAAGGCACCAAGTTCATGGCTGCTCGCATACATTAAGGTATATGGAATAGCAGGGGAAAGTGACAGCATGTTTTGTCTCTCGCTCACGACTTTGATCACATGATGCTGACAGTCACACAACATGCTCTCCTCTTCGTCAGGGGCTAGCCCCAGCAAGACATCATCCTGTTTAGCATTGTACATGAGACCTGCCACTGTGAAAAGCGGCGCGCTTGGCCTCAATGTAGTCTGGCCGACATTTCTCAAGGTAGGCGGATGCACCTGCCGGCATCTTTTGCTTAACCCAAGTCCAAGCACTGCAGTGAAGGCAATCTGCCCCTTCGCATCAACATCCTCGTGCATCTCAGGCCAAAACGTGCTCGGGTTTGGTTGAAAGAAATTCTCTCCTGCGGCACTGAAGGATGCATCTAGGCTGTCTCAAGGACTGCAGACAACCAGAAACCTCCCATGGCCCCCATGGCCTCTTCCCGCTTTGCCAGAATGATTCCCATCGTCTTGCTGCTACAGACCTCGTCAGCAGCGTCTTTAGCTCCAGCTTCAGGAGCTATCAGGGAGCTACAGGTGATGCCCGCAAGCAGGCTCAGACTGAGGGCTCAGCTCCATGGCACTGTCATGTCGGCAGCAGCAAAACGAAGGCAAAACTCTACTGAGCCTGTGGTTCTAGCTATGTCAGGGGGCTCGAAGCCATGAAAGTGTCCAAGTTTGATGAGTCTCACAATGCGCCTTTAGCTACTTTGGCTCCTGGGCCCCTGCTTGGTTGCGGCCGATGCTTGTGTTTGTTTAGGATGGTGGGTACGAAAGCTGGGGCCGGCAACGAGCAGCGACACATCGAACCATGAGAACGATTCCCAAAACCGAATCTGACCTCAAATCTCATGGGAAAAGCTCAAAGCCTTGACAAAAGCTGAACATCAAATGGCATGGTGCGCTCGCGAGGGCTTTGATGAGGGACAGCGTTGTCCCAAATTTCCAAGAAGCATCCGTGAACATTCTCACGGCTCAAGATCAAGCTCGCCCTGCCCACGTGTCCATAGCCATCAAGTGTTTCAAGCTGAGGCAGGGCACTTTCAACAGCATCATTAACAGTATGGCGGTGCGAGTAGATCCCACATCCTCTTTGGGTCAAGCACATGCTGACGATCACCACAAAGGCTTGCTCTTATTCTGCTCAGAGACCGACTACTGACATGCTATTGTGCAGCGTTCAGTTTCGATTGGAGCAAGCCTGCTCGAATTAGCCAAAAGGCGTACAGTGGACGACTCGCCTGCATTTCCAACTTTAATTGTTGCATGCAGCTCCTGCCACTTCGTCAACGGCACTTTTGGCTCATTTTGTTTCTATGTTTCTTGTAGTTGCAGGGTCACCTGAAGGCTTAGGGCTTAGGCGCCTTAGCCTCTACTAGTAATGGACTTAAGACGGTTTACTTGCATCGCCGCAGCGGCATGAGAGGCCGGGGCTGCTTGCATCACAGCCACACCTTGGAATCTCAGAGCTGGGGCATGGGCGCATGGGATGCACGGGGGAGATGGTTCGCAGATTCAACAAATACCTGTCGACTCATATCTTGGCCTGACTAGGGACGGTACTATACCACCTCTCACCCAGCCAAGCAAATCCTTCGCATGACAGCGTGACATCAAAGTGTCGCTCAACCGTCAAGTGACACTTCGCTTGGCTTACAAGGTGTAACGTTGTAACATTCCAACCCCATGATCCCTGATGTCCTCGCGAGGGATCCTGGCGAAATCGACCGTCTGCTGACCGTGCGAACCAAAACCTGCGAACAGTCTTCTGATGTCTTCTGACTGGAGTGCAAGTGCAATGCCCCAAAATCGATATGGAATCACCTCAGAATCACCCTTAGAATCACCCTTAGGTGCACCTGTAGGATTTGCCCTCCAGGCAGGATTGCTGACAAGAGCATTAAAGATCAGCTTGAGGTCGGTATCTGACAGCAGGAGACGCGGATGTCTGCTCGGCTCCGAATCGCTTGCGATCCCCGAAGCTATGCTGGCCTTCCCACTTGAAGCCTGCAAGCTTGTCGGTCAGGTCACCAAACTCCACCATGGTCAGACCACCCTTTGGCACCAAAGATCACAAGATTGATCCGATTCGGAAGGCTTCTCCTCTCTCGGAGGATCACTGAGCCCCACTGAGCTGGCCACGTGCAGCCCTGGATATGTTCTAGCGTACTGGTCGTACAGCGTGCCGATGCTGTCAGTTATCTGGCGCAGCAACAGGGGGTGCGCACAGTTTTCATGATCCAGTAGACGTAACTCTGCTGAATCTACTGTGCGACTTCACCTTCTGATTGAGTCCTTATGGATATTTGCAAATTCTTGCCAATTTGTGCAGAAAACTGTAGAAAACTGTTGGTTTCGGGCCTGGCTCGCTAAGGCTTCGCGAGCTTTGTTGAGCTTCTGGCTCTTGATGAAGCCGATGACCAATGCCGCAATCTTGGCTCTGAAAGGCTCAGATGACAGCAGCTTCTATATAGCAATTACACGTAAGTGCAGTAGCTCTGTATATTCTTGCACCTATCCGCTTCACAGTCGGTTGATTAGAGAGTATTCCTGGGTGTCAGGCGCCAACGAGCATTGGTAGAACACACAGGACAAAAGCCAGGAACTTCATGAAGGTGCTCTCCTCTCACAGTCTCAAGCCACTGAAGTATTCAATCCTCGATTCAAACCCTACCGGAGCAGACTCTGATTGGCACTGGGGGGTAGTCCAGATTGTCCCACATGGTGGAGAACAGCGAGCAGCCCAGGAAAAGGAATGCGATGCCCTTGCCTTCCAATGACCGCACCAGGTGGGGAGTCGAATCGGGTGTGGGCTGCTCCATGTGCTCCACACACCTATGCGATCTATGTGCAAGCATGCGCAAGCATTTCGCCTGTCACTCGAGTCAGGATGCCGATGTACTTGGAAAAGTACTCCCGATGATCCTTGACCTGATCGACATTGGTCTCATGCGCAAATATTTCCGAAACACCTCAGCTGCCTCAGCTCGACATGCAGAGCAAGTTGCTGTCTTCATGGTTTTGAAGCATGGGGTGTCCATCAAGGCAAGGACGCCTGGCCCAGCTGTCACGATAGAAAACCGCAGCAAGGAAAGCAAGAAGATTTGCCAGGCTGACCCCCAAAAAGCATGATGTAGCAGGTTTCCAGAAAGTCAACTAGCCTCAGCCAGAAGTGGCACAAGGTTCCCTCCAAGCGATATCATAAGGGCAATAAGGGCAAGGGCTCGAAAGAAAAGAAAAGGCAGAGTCCGCCAATGAAGGCTCCAAGCCTGAGTCGCGAATTCGAGTGGATGGCCGCTAATGGCTGCCAGGAGACGAGAGCTGACAGGCTAAGTCTTCAGCATTATTGAGCACGACGCGGCAAAGAAGTACTGGCTCCTGGCAGGAGTCGCAGCGACTCCCGGCAAAGTTAAGCCAAATTAGTGGGGGCATGAGCGATAGCATAGGCAAGCGCGGCTAGGTGCACCAGTCGGGGTTCATGGCGAAGCCAAGGGCACCTTTCTGCGGCGGCTGGGCCGCTTGGGGCTGACCTCCTGCATGTGGGGGCATGTTGCCTGCAAAGATCGAGGAATCGAGGAATTCAACATCCGAGACTGGACTCACGGACCGGCTTCCAGCATCTTCCAGCCTACTTGCCCATACCCGCCGTAAGGGCCCTGAGGGTGTCCAGCCTGCAGCTCTTCACTCTCAGGTGATTCTGCGGCCACTCTTTGATACTTACATGCTTTCTTCGCTTCTTGTGCCAAAGGCTACTGGGGCCCCTGCTGGAGGACCTTGATACGCACCTTGATAAGGCCCTTGGTAGTTGCCCTGATAGTTACCCTGGTAGCCATAACTTGCATATGGCGGCCCAGCAGGTTGCGTCTGCCTGGCAACGTCAATATAATGTTGACTTGACATACCGTAACTGTACTGTAACTGTAACTAGTTGGTGCAGGTCGCAAATCCTGCGCTTTGCAAAGGTGCACGCAACTGCGTGACTTGAGTGGAAGTTGCTGTCAACACCGGCGGCATCACGGCTGCTCGTAGTTCTGTGTTGAATACATCCCTGGCGGCTCTCCGAGCCTCGTGGGCAAATGCAGGGAGGCTCCAAGCCGACCAGCGACTTGCGAATGCTTGGTGTGAAGACATTTTGTATCCTTGTTTAGGGATTTAAGAACATTGATGCAAAAATTTTGATTCTTAAAGAAGACTTTGTAAACATGCTTTAAGATCACACCATAAGTATCGGGGCTCGTTCAGACTGACAGTGTCCTGGGTGCATCTTAGCGGCAGCTCGGAGAGCAGCTCAGCGGAGCCCACCCTCACACCTAAGGCCCACTTAGGGGCCCTCTACGGGGCCATAGAAGAGCCAAAAGCCAGCTGCGAAGTACTCCTCCGTGACTCCTTCCTGCTCTCCTACTGCTCTCCTACTCTTGCATACAATTTGCAACCTGTACTACCTCCGTGTCAGCTCATGTCGCCTCATGTCTGCTGCTGGTCATGGGCATGGCTTTGTCGGGCTGTCGTTTCCTTCTGACACCTTCGGCTCTCATCAGTGGTCCTGAAGTCATTTGGCAGGAACAATGACCCAGTGCTGTCGCTTGGCAAAAGGTAGTCCAGAGGGTCGCCTTGTGCTCATTCGAGTGGGTTCTCTGACTACGGCCGCAGATGCACCTCATGCACTGCACGAATGAGGCACAAGGTGGTGGGTTCGCTGCAAGCTTGCAAGGTAAACCCTGAACCGGAAGAATGCTCGGCGCCAGCACAGTATCGAGATCAAGCCGACAATCAGGACTGGCGGTGCCGACAGTAAGCATGGTGCCGCAGTGCAGATGTTATGTAAGAAGCTTGTGGGAGGTGAAAACCGCCACAGTGCAAAATGCCTCCAACGGTTGTAGCCTGTGCCCGTGTCATTGTGGACAGGTCAAGCGGCCTTGAAGGGTCTCAACAACACGGCTCGGCGGAAGGCGCTGTCAAAACAGGGATGTGCATTTGTGATGCTTTGCCGCAGCCTCGCAACCCACGCGGAGCCCATGCTGTCGATCTCAGAGAAAGCGGCGTCACCACGAACTACCTTGCGTGGGAGTTTGGGGAATCGGGTATGCCTTGAAGGATCTCAGGTGCCGTACCGCGGAGAATCCGCCGACCAGCCCGGATGTGGCGCCCAGTGGCGGGTCCCCCGCTCCGCCGCTCCGCCCTGTGGACGTCTCCTTGCTGTCCTCTGGCCATCGTTGTTGCCGTTGTTGGCCTCCCTCGCACTACCCCAATCTGCGACCATAGCAGGATCAGTTCAGAATGGGCCTCAGCATACTCAGCCCGACACTGCCCCTGCTCCAAAGCCTGCCGATCGGGTCCCGACCGGATGGCCTCCTACGGACCGACCCCCTTCAAAAACTTGGACTCGGGCAGCTTTCGAGACCTGACCTCAACCCCTGCCAAGGTTTAGAAGGTCTCGGTTTCGGGGTCGGCGGAGCAGGCTTTTGCCGCTAGGCCTACATGATCTCAATCATGGTTTAATTCACTGCAGCTAAGCTCTTCGCTGATTCTTCCACCTTCTCAAAGTTTTCGTCGACTCTGATCCCTGCAGGCATCTCTGGACAACACCTGCCAAGTTCCGCCCCAATAGCACAAGTCCGTAACTTTAGCAGAAGTCTCACATGTCGGGGTTCGAACAGACATGAGGGGCGCGCTTGTACTCCTCGGTCTTGTCGTCAACCGGATGCCACGCAAGCGCAATGTCTCAGATCCCGATGCGGCGAGACGCGGCAGTAACTGTCATGTGGCCACTGCGCAGCCTCTGGAAATTCCAGTCTTACTTGGAAGACACTTGCCGCTGTAGATGGGACCCACTTGTAAGTCCTTAAGGAACCTGGGCGAAAACCTTGAGCCAGTGACGCATCTAACTATGTTACAAGTGCCACAGGCCTTCCAGTGCCCCATAGCACAGTCTGAGACGTGGACTGTGTTTACACTGCTCGTGGGCACAATGCTCACCACAATCCTCAGCCAGTAAGCCCAGATATGATACTCCCAGAAACTGAACAAAGGCCGTGTGCTACTCGTGTGCAGCAGTGGTCCAAGCCATGGGCCCATGTCCACGGCTTTCGACAGCAATGGCCATGGCCTGAGTCGAGACTTGACTGCCATCATGCCATGGTGCCTGCCATGCCTTCCGGCAGCTTCTTCAGTGCAACGAGAAAAAGGATGAATGCAGGGTCCGGCTACAGTGACCGCGCTGAACTTACGTCTGCCTATAGCTCGGTTGTGTTGCGTATGACTCTTCTGACTTGGACTCAGCGCAGTCGATGATGATGATGATGATGATGATGATGGGTATGGGTTGGGGAAGGAAGGGTTTTTGAATGTTGGGTATGGAGGCTCCTGTTCTTATTTTGGTCTTCGGAACTGCCTCAAACTTCTTGAGAAATCCAGTTCCCAGAATGTCTTAATTCAGTTTTTGCTTGCTTCGGGTCCTCCAAATAAGATATTTACTTTAAAAATCAGGGTACCTTCGGAGTGTGAGGCTGCATATGTCGGAAGGAAACGGGTGCCTCAACTTTAAGAAACCCAGGGTACCCTCACCTGATCTCATCCCTTGCTTACCCAGCAGTGTCACTGTACTTCAACTCGGACAGCGACCGCGCTCTTCCACCTTCCAGCCTCTGGAGAAAGCATCTGCACAAGCACAACATGACCAAGCACAGCAACATATTCCGCATGCTCCAGCTGGATCCGGTTCCCCACCTTCCGGGCAAATCTGCTGCCCCCCCAAATATTCAGAATGGCGGCGCGCAGCCTGATGTTGAATCAGTACAGTAATGGTTTGTTTTTGATGTGGTTCCCCAAGGATAATAAATATTGCGGACTGATGTCAAAAGTGTCGGCCATGTCAGCAACTGAAAGCTCCCCCTGCCTTGGGGCAGCAGATGTATGGATGTGTTCTGAAGTCAGCCCACCTGCACCACAGGCTCCAGGGCTTAAACCTTGGGGATACACATCTTAGCAGATTAGGGGTCAGGATGGGTCAGGTTTGAGGCCTGTTATGACTTGCTGGCATGGGGCAACGAACGGGCCTAAGGCCTAAGGTTGCAGCACACTTCGCAGTGGCAGTGGGCTTCGGAAGCAAGTCTGGCCGAATTATTGGTATGACTTATAGAGTCATAGAGGGTGACCTGTTCCGCGTAGGGGGCCAGGGCCAGTGACAAACCGGATGTCAGCTCTAAGCGCAAGCCTGAACTCCCATCCGTCACCTCGATTGCAGTCAGAAGCACCTGCATCAGCAGTAGCAGGAAGGATATGGAAGGATGGTCTCCGCCGGCCGAAAACACACAAACATGCGTCTGAGCTTCAGAACTGGCTCGTTTGCGGATGCTGAGACCAAGCTTCGGGAGTTTCGGGCACTGCGAAGAGGCGGAGCTGACTTGCATTGTGTGCCGCGCAAGGTTGCTTTCGAAGAGGCAATTGCGAACCTGCTAGGGCCCTAGTGGGTGATCGCCATTCACCATTCCAGCATGCACGCGAGTTGAACCCGCGTTTAAGAAAATGTGATTGCTCATCAACTTGTCATGTCCACAGGGAGAGAGAGAGAGAGAGAGGAAGGAAGCGCGAGCGCGAGAAACGGAGCGATCGAAAGGGACGAAGAGAGAGAGAGAGAGAGAGAGAGAGAGAGACAGAGAGAGAGAACGAATCTACTCAAGCATTTCAAGCAAGCTGCTGCATGAGAGGCCACAATGTGCCGACCAGCGTCGTATGCAGCAGCCAGCAGCCTTCAGCAGTGGCTCCAACTGGGATTTGTTGCTCAAGTGGCATCAAGTGGCCCGTTCAATTCATTCGATCACGCTTCCGCACCTTTGGACCATCCCAGCCAGGCAGACAGTGCGCGTCAGGCCGATGTATGTGGGGATGAGCATGGGGGAGCTGATGCGGATGTCCGGGATGTCCGGGATGTCCGGCTGCTTGGTCATGGGCCTGAGCATGCTCCGTAGACCCGCATGCTCCGTAGACCCGCAGGGTCTGTGCTTCTCTACCGATGCATAGGCATAGCCTTGTGAGCGGTAGCGTCCCCAGCAGCAGAAGCGGCAGCCTTGCAGACTCAAGCTAGTCATCTAACATGCACTGGGCGATGTGGAGCTTGACTTTCGAGAGATTTCCAGCAAGAATCAGAATCTGCTAGCGGCTAGGCCAGACAACCCAACCATAGCCCTACAAGTAGTTGCGTTGCCCAAACGTCGCAACTTTTCTGACTCTGCAAAACAAGACGTTGCTCGGCAGCTGAGGATGAAAAGCACTCGGTTGAACCCTCGGGTGGGCACGCGGTCATAACATGTTACACGCAGCACGTGCTTCCCACCACGTGTCGCAGCATGGCCTGTGCTGCATCTGCATGTAGCTGGAGTCCTGGAGGATGCCGGGAAGCAAGTGGGTGTTTCCAAGAGGGAAGCGGCGTTGGCTGTACATGCCGCACTTGCAAGGAGTGGTCTACCATTCACAGCGCGGATTGGCTGTGATGCTGAACTGTCCAGCATGATCCCTGCAAGCTTGCAAGACTTGCTCTGTCAATTGAAAGTGTTCCTTCGGAACCACGGAAAGGGAAAATCGAAAAAGCTACATCGCCCGTGCCGGCACTGGCAGCGAATACATCAGTAAACGTCTGCCACTGAGCATCACTGTGCTTGTGCAACCATTGGCTGCACGATGTTCTCGAACCGATCAAGAACGTCAACCAAGAAGAGTGCACGGGCATCTTCGTACTGCAGCCTGGGAAGGTGGCTTCGGAAAGTGAGGCTGCACGACCCTCCAATAGAGGATACATAAAGCTTAAGTACTCCTAGTATGCAAACTCTGACAGTTTCCTCTGTGTCAATCACATCCCGGACCACATCCAAGCAGCCTGCACAGCCCGAGTGCTGCTCCCACAACCAAACCATTCCATAGTAGTCTCGGGAGCCACCCCGCCAAGAGTCCAGCAACTCCTTCTCGAGCCTCGCAAGGCCATCGAGCACAAAGAAGCTTCCACAGAAGACAAGTCACATGTTGTCTCTGGATGATGATGAACCTGCATGTTCCCGCAATAATTAAGCTGGATTTAGCTGGAGCCTGAATGTCCCATAGCTTGGACGGTAGGAGCTGTATGCCTGGCCACCACCCCACGGCCCCACGGCTGATGTTTGGAGCACTGGACCGATGACCGATGCCTGCCTTCTCCATCCAGGACAAGTTGAGTCCGAGCAACGTCCAGCGGTGTGCACCTCCGCAATTTCGGGATCATTCTTCACATCGCGATTTGATGTTGGCAAAGGTTTGGGGTTCTTCTCTATAGGAAGCTACGCTCTTCAGGTGGACAGCGTTGTCCTGAGCCCTGTCCGAGAGGCTTGAGCACCCATGTAGGTGGGCAGGTGCTCTCGCCAGTTTAAGGTTTAGGATTTAGGGTGTCTCATTGAGGGGGTGCGCTGGCGCTTAAACACCCACTTGCCCGCTTGTGCTCCACCCTCGTCTTAACCGCTTTTCTATCGTCATTGCCCCTCGAAAAAGGCTCCTTCTGGGAGGCCTTGGTGTCTGAGGTTTGGTGTTGGGGGCCTGGCGCCTGGAGTCCTTGCGAAGCCCCTCCAGGGACGGGTTTCTGAGCTTTGGGAGGTTCCTAGAAGCGAAAATTGGAGGCCTGGCAGAGGTCTGAGCGGCTTGTGTCTGCTTTAAAGGCTTTGGAGTTGGGGCTGGCGGGGCCCCTGGGACTTGGGACGCCTTTGGCCAATTTCGTCCGAAAGTGCTTTGAAAGATCAAAAACACACAAACCCCGTCCCGTCCAGAGTCTCCTCTGCTGGGATGTGCCCCCCCCCCCCCCGCCGCAATGACTCTCATCCCTCAGAAAAATGCCGGCGCAACAAATGTGTTTAAACTCTGAGCTGGGTAGCATGATGGAGGCGACTGCTGAAGCAATGGTGAAGATGAGGATGTCCTCAGGAAAACTGTGCCAACATCAAGAGACAAGGCAAGCTTTTGTAACCACACTAACAGTCACTAAGCTTGTAAAATATTTTGCAAGCCAGGCTCGGAACCAGGACCCGAAGCAAACAAGCCCGAGTCATGAAGGGTGACAAACACTGCTGTCCGCAGAGCCACCTGCGGGACATCCACAGCACCTGCGGCGCATGAGGAGGCTGATGGAGGTTCATGGAGGCTGGATCATTAACTGCACATGGGCAACAGGCCACTCGGCAAATCTCTCTCGACTTCTCCCGCAAATGAAGCTTCGAAAGAGCCAATCAAAACAGATCAAATCCACAACGCCCCCGGCATTTTTGCAAAATCTTGTAGACCTTTAGTCGGCCCATCAAACTTAACATAACTTCGCCGAGATGGTTGTTCGTCAGTTGAATCTTCCCTTTTGCCTTTGGCGTACATCATACCGTGGCACGTTTCTGTTTTGTGAGCTTCTTAGAACGGAGAAGAGGCAACTTGGACGGGGCTCCACAAAGTGCGAGCCTTCTATGACTCGGAGGCTAATTTGAGTTTAGGTCTCCTTACATTGACATAAAGAACTGTCCAAAGGAGAAAACCAGGCAGTCCAGGGAAGGACATGGCGGTAGCCTTAAGCATGCTGATCTTTGTGGGTTCCCAAATTTTGGCAAACACGGCCCCGTGACTGCTGCGACCACAGACTTGCGCCACCCGTATAGCATAGTGACTTCCACTCGTCCTGCGACAAATCTGTGACTCGGGCATCTCGGGCATGAGACTTTATGATAAGAGCTTCGCGGAGAGTTCTGAGCCAAGATGGGCATATGGTGGCGTCCTTACTCTTGTGCGGACAGCAACAGACGATCACCTACGCAGCGGTCCTCAGCTGCACCAATTCCCCTCTCGATCAACCCCCGATGAGTTCACTCGAGGTGCGGATGGCACAAAACCTTCGAGATGGGGGCATGCTTGCAGGCCTTCCGCATTGAGTGAATCAGTTGCCGTCCTTTCGGCTGCCAAAGTTTAAGTTCGTGAGCCTTCGTCTTGTCGTGTAAAACTGTGAAACCATCTAAAACTCTAAGCCTGTGCGTTCGTGACTCCGTGTTAGGCCGTGTCAGGCCTCTCCTTCGTTACGGCCTCCTGCTCGTCTCTCCCATGGCTGGCGTTTGCTATTGCTGCAGGCCCTCAGGCGCTGAAAGTCTTCCAAGGGCTGGTTTGCTGCAAAAACGCCACTTCAGATCCCAATGCGCTGGCCCTTGCATGCCTCCTCCCTTTGTGTGTCCTCGCTATCCTCCAGTCTCTGCAATTTCCATGCCTACGAGGCCTTGAGTCTCAAGCACTCAACTGAACCTTTTTCAGTTCCAGATTCAAGGTTGCATACAATGTCAGATAACAGAGTGGCATCTGAACATGTACTCGCAAGGATGGAGCTACTGAGCACGGCACAAAGGATTGGAAAGTTCCGCAAGCTCTCCTGCAGGGGCTAAGCTTGCCATTTCTTAGATGGCCATCTTCTACGTGCAGGAGGTCCAGAGTCGCGCAACAAACAAAAACTACACGAGCCCAAGTCCAACTGTGTGTTGCTCAGTTGCTCCTCCCACAGGCGGACAAAGTTCAAATTGAAGCTCTTGCTGGTGTAGGAGTTGTCTTCATCACCATAGCGCTGCCGCACACGGTCCTCCTCAAATAATGCTGCCTGCTGTTCAATCTTTAACACCTGTCCAGGTGTCTTGACCGCAACGTATGCAGCCTCACCACATGCAGATGCCAGAGTTGACGACAAGACATCCGCCACCGCCAAGGGCAGACTTGCTTTGACAACTCCGATTAAACTTCTTCGCACGATGTCCTTCACTGCCCAGAAGACAGAGAGTGCTGGAACAGTTGCGAAGACAGGAAGGAAGCCATCATACAGGCGCTTGTACAGCACGGGGTCTGGGAGAAACGGGCCCTGGCCAGTCTGAAGTCTTGTTTTGAGCGTGTCTAAAGGGTGAAGCAAGAGCGCAGTGCTCAGTTCCACAACGAAGCCGGCGAGAAATCCGCTGACAATGACCTCAAGGACAGATGTCTCTTTCCTGAGAATGCGAACCGGGCCATAAAGAGGCAGCTCGCCCAATACCCAGTATTCGTTCTCCGTGTCACTGTCGACTTTCACCTCTGCCCATTTGTCCAGCCACGGGGCGAAGATATTCTTTGGTGCTGCGGGTGTCGCTGGTGTCGCTGCTGCCGTCGCTGTTGTCGTCGCCGCTAGTGTCGCCGCTGGTGTCATAGGACCAGCATTGACAGAATAATCCAAATCAAACTGGCTCGCACCAGCTGAGCCTACATCAGCGAAGTGGACAGAGGCCAGCAACAGGACAGCGATGCTAACCCCTCGAAGTGAGCTTCCAAGCCAGTCCCCGTGCCTGCCAAACCGCCTAGCAATTCTGGAGCGTCTTGCTGGGCGGAGACGAATGACACCGAACAAGGTTGTACTTCCAACTGCGGAAATGGAAGGTGAATTGATGTGCCGGGCTGACTCTTGCCTTTTGCAGCTTGATAACTTTTGTGCCGACACGGAATCGGACACCAAACTACTACATCGAGCAGACGGAAAATCTGCTGATCTGCCACAAAATGCAGCCATGAAAAAAGCGACAAATGGCCACTGGCTTCAAAGGCGCAGCCTGGCAGTACAGCCTAGCAGTGTAGTTATATATTGCGCTTGCAAGTCTTCACTGAGTAAGGAGTGAAGGGTCTTGGTTTGTAGAGTTCAAGGTGTATCAAAGAAACGCGTTCGTCTTCAGCTAAAGACTGGGTACCGGATTGGACCATAGCACCGTCGGGGCACACATCGAATGACAAGATGACATGGGTACAGTCACAACCTCTCCTCGACTCAGGCATCGTGATCCTGCTTGGCTTTTGCGAGTTGCAAACTCTGAGAATCGGGCTCGCTTGTGTGACCACTCCAAGCTTGCCAAAGCATGCCTAGCGGCCACCACAGCATCAACCTGCCGGTCCAAGTCCGCACAGAACATGCCTACACATGGCGTTGAGTTCTTACTTATACGTGTTTGGCTTTCTTGGTAAGCAGCGCTGGTCAGAGGATCATTCAGGGGCACTGCAGTAAAGGAGGGGAGGGGGGGGGGGTGGCGGAGGGGCCAGGTGGGGTGGGGCGGGGAGACGGGGAGGGAGATGCGGGCGAAGGGAGGGCACATCGGAAATGATGTGGGATGGAAGGGCACACTCCCAAGATCATCTCCTTCTGCTGCCTCATCTTGTGGAAGCTCGATATGAAAAACAAACCGGAGCTGGTCACTACGAGGATCGCCGGATGGGATCTTGGTAGACATGGCGAGGAGCACATGAATGTCAGCTTAACACCGAGCAGTGCCACACCGAGCGTGGGGAAGGGGCCAAAAGTGGGCCAAAAGGCAGACGCACGCGCAAACAAACAGATAGACGGACGAACAATTGAATCAGAAATGAAGAGAGGTGAGAAGAGATTCCTTTTCTCGCGGAAGCACACCTGGGGCCGCCACGCATCTGCTACCCAAGTGAACCCCGTGCTTCTCCAAACATCCCAGCAAGCCTGCTCAGGAGTCGTGTTGCATGTCTTCAGTAGCCCACAAGCAACGCTGTATGGGAGCACGCGCTTGAAGAGCCTTCTGGTCGCCGGTGATTGCAGAATCTTTGAACCTCCTCGCTGCATACAAACGGCCTTCCAAGCAGATGGAAATCTTACTCCTACAGCCCTAGCACTAGACAGCAAGTGTCTTGCCACAGGCTCCAAAAACTCAACAGGAGTCACCGTACTTTCCATCAATTGATTTCGTCTGCACGTGTCTTGGATCTTGCGTTCGGTTCCATTGACTTAGTAATGGTTTTCCCGAACTGCAAGGGCTCCTCGCTAGGCCGGACATAGGACGATGCTGAAGTCTCTGAGGCTCTGACACGGAGTGCTGCACTTCCTCTACACATGCGGCGGACACGTGCGGGGTATGGAGACCTCGGTCATCGCTTGGAGCAAACCCTTTGTTTTGGCCACACTTTGAGTAGCAAACGATGTCCTAGGACCTCTCATGTGGACAGGCTCGACCTTCCCCAATGACTACTGCTTCTTCCGCATGCATACACACACAGAGAGACAAGGAGGACTTTTGCCACTAACCAGCATCGTCAAGACTGAGTGCATCGCCTAAGCAATGCAGAGGAGCGTCTGTCTTATGACGCGGACAATGCTTCGCCACATCCTTTCCCACAGTGCGAACACACATGGCACCCCATTCGGCTGCATAGTAGTTCCTAACCCATCCATGTCCGTAGCCTCTGCACAGGGATGGCTAGAGCCGGGAAACCGCGACTCCAGCAGTGGCACCAACTTTTCTCTGAAAGCCGGCCTCGTTTCAAATCGAAACTGCAAGGAAACAACAACTATTCGACTCCCATGTCGTCAAGGTGCCGGCTGGACCAGCTGCATCATCTCCGCCAAGAACTGATCGGGAGCATCTGCATCAACAGCCCACCGGAAAGGTCCTGCGGCGAAATGCAGAGTCGCAACGGTTAGTGTACGCTGTAAACAACTAATCGGACACCCGTCCTGCCGCTGGCAGCACAGATGCGATATCATCCAGAGCCATTGGCTTCACATCCTCCATGCTGAAGACGATCTCCTTGGGCCCTTCCCAAGTCACCTGCCCGACGAAGCGTTGCAGAGTTGTTCCCTTGATTGCACCCGGTGTGTGAGCTACTGATTCCTGCTTCGCTTCATAGCTTGAGGGTCCTGATGATGCAGCCTTCGGACCGCACATGGTCACAGAGTATCATATTTGCGCCCTTCCTATCCTTTCGTACTTCCCGCATGTCCCTTGTCGCCCAAGCATACCTGTCAAACTGGCCTCAGTGACAATGGTTGGCTCGAGCTGCGCATGGTTGCGCCCCAGCCAACACAACAGCAACCACCTGACGAAACCAATTTTTGCAGTGATTGTGAACACTGACACGATGTGTAGGGTCTGAGCGGGTAGGCGCGCTATTGCGGTAGCTGCTGTGGGTTGCAAAGTGGGAAGTGAGTGGTCTTCTTCCGAGACGATGCCCAAGCCACAACCCCAGCAATAACCCACAAAGGCCCACAAAGCCACAAACAATTTCAAACAAATAACTATCAAATAACTCCTACGACTTTTGGGGGGCATAAAAAACTTTCAGAGCCTTCGGAGGCCCTTACATGAAGAGACTTGCATTAAAAAACATAGAAACCCCTTCCAAACCCATCGTGCGAGCACTGTGGTTGCCAATGGAGGGGCGGCAGGCTCCAAACGCCCCTCCTTTTGCTTTTACCCCAGCTTTGAAAGAAACCTCAGCCCATGACGAGGACTTGTATGTTGCAATGAAGAGACTTGCAATACAAAAAGTACGAATCCTTTCCAAACCCGTCATGCGAGCACGGCGTTTGCAAATGGAGCCCCATTCCCCGCTTGTTCTTCATTGTTACCCGTGCCAGCTTGAGGAAATGGAGGTTTTCCTATGAAACCTTGGAGAACATAGTGGTTTTCCTATTCAGAAACAGAGAAACACGTCATGCCAGCTTGCTTTTTGCAAATGGGCGGGGGGGCAGGGGGCAGGGGAGACTGCCTGCCTCCCTGCTTCAAAACAGCATAATTATATGATACCGCAAAACAAAAAAGATATATCACCACATATAAGCATTACGATATGTCAGTATAAAAATGGTATAAGATTTTTCGCGTTCATTATGAAAAGCGAGGAGCAGAAGCGCGCTTCTTCTTCTGCTGAGTATGGGAGGGGGACCCTCCAGCGTGGCTCGCAGCCTCGGTTGTCTCAGTCTATCTGACCAACGGGGTACAAGGCCCCAGGGGCCCCTGCACAAAGGCTCTGGCTCATCTCTGATGACTCGTCAACCTACCTTTTCTTGAAGCGAACCCTGCAGCTGGGCCAAGCATCCCTCTTGAGGCCTTAACTTTGTTCTTGCTCTACCTCTCCCTGTCTGTCCGTGCTGATTGGTTCTGCGATCTTCTGCGCGTGCCGCAGAAAAGGTCTCCCCTGAACAAGGACTAGCAGCAACTGGACAGGACAAAAGTCGACGATCACCCAACCTAGAAGTTCCCCAAGCCTGCACCCTGCACCACCAAAGCACTATAAGACCAGAGAAACCACACAAACCAAAAAACGCCCCTTCTTAACAAAAGCGCCTTTCAGTTCAAACTGCTGTTTCTGTGACGAACTGAATGCGAAAACCTCATACAGCAGCAATTGGAGTAAATACAAGGCCTGCTTGGCTGCATTGTTACGTTACACCATGTAGCACAGCTACAGCGTGGGCCGCAGGTTTTCTAGCAGCAAACATATTCGGGACTGGTACAAGGCCAAAGATGCGTGTATGCAGTCGATCGTCAAGGAACTCAGAAAGGAACTCAGAGGCTCACAGTCTTTCATGCATTTAGGATGACAATGAGAAGTGCTTGGTGACTACTTCCCACATGACTCTGGAACATCTGAATCCAGGCCTCATCTGCGTAGCAGCATGTCTGGACCACCGCCAGTAAACAAGGCTTGCAAGCCAGATGAGAAATCTAAAGTTAATGTACGGAAGCTTCGTGATGGCAGTTGCGTGCTTGACCGCTGCAGTGGACTTCGGGCTCAGGGGCGCATGTGCCTGATTGACATTCGTGCGTTGATTGCAATTGTAGCCCAGCATAGATGTTTCAGACTTTGCATCGACCATGTCTACAAACAGGCTGTGCCGTGCCGATATCTGAATAATGCGTCAGACGTACCCGTGCGCTTGCACATCGTTGCCCTGCCCGCTTGTGATGTCAGCCGAATGAAGCCCATATGGCACTTGCGAACGGATCCGTCACACACGCAGCACATCCCAACACAATTCGCGGTCTTAACATGCTTTGCTCAATGACGTGCAGTGAGACTTTGACAGTCGCATGTTGTAGTACAACTAGCAACGCGTGAGTTAACAGGACAGCCCAACTGATCTTTGAACAGCTACACATGCTCATCTAGTCGGTCAGCGGAGTTACGTAGACGTGCGAGACCTTTTTCTCAACGATGCCGGAATCGAATCAACGCTTGCAGCCCGCGTGCTTGGAGATCTGCGATTCATCGTAGTTGGTGAACCAGTTGATGACCTGCCATCGTGCATCATCTGCAGATCTGTTGCGGTGGCAATGGGTGAGCTTCTGCCTCCCGGTACGTGTTCCCATATGGCTGATGGCTTCCTGCCAGTGTTGCATGACACGGCAATGCACTTCGCGTCGCCTCCCTGGCCACCGGGCAACCGGAAATCAATGGAAGATGGTCGTCAATTGCTGCTTAAAACGACACTGAGTGAATTGCTGCTCAAACGAAACTGTCAATGTATTTCAATGTGACAGAATCCTGCAAACCCTTTCCCGGAGCCTTCGTTGATCGGCATGGTGTACTGGTACAGGGACGTCTCCGGCCAAAGGCTGCCAGGCTGAGGGTTTGAAACAAACCCCTGGTCTGTGCGAGTTTGTTATCCTGCGGTACGTGCGAGGCATGTGCGATGTGTGCAAACTCCGCCCACAGACAAACTGCATTTTCGCCATTGCTGCTTTGAATTCCTGTGGAACCGAACTGAACTAAAGCACGATCATATGCCCAAATTACAGAAGACATAGAAGACAGGTCCGGCAACAACGGCACCGAGATCACCCAAAAATCAGCGAGCTGGCGTTTTGAGGCAACAATTTGAAATTTGGATGCAATCTTACGTTTACGCGTACGGCGTACAGTTCATGTCATGTGCAGGCTAACATTTTAGGATCATTTTAGGTGTACGAATGCTCAACACATCAAGGCCCGTTATGCTGCTGGGCCACTTGTGCTTTCAAGGTGTCGATAAGTTTGTAGGTCTCCTCACGAGCCTCCTCACGAGCCTGAACAGACCACATTCACTATGCACTTCAATGATGCGTCTCGCTTTTTGCAATTCCTCCCATTGCTTCTATTCGCTTCGTCCAGCCTGGACGCACGAATCTGTACACTGTAATCGTTTTCGTCAAAAAACGCCCTCTGCATCCAGCACGCGTTCCAACCTTCATATGACTACGCCTAGTGCGGGTTGTTTTGCTGGAATGCCTCGCTACAGGATCCCATTTAAGAGATACCCTGAAAGAAGGGATCCGAGACAGAGGGCCGTCCCACACGAGCACACTCACACACCGCGGCAAACACGAAGAGCACGCACGACAATATACAAACCAGTTTCCCCTTGGTGATATGGCGCAGTGCCCGAGTGCCCGAGACTTCAGGCCCCGCCCCGGGACGAAGCGGGTGCTCTGTGCAAGCTTCGTGCTGGAATCGACGTTTCCGTGAGCTGGCTGGAATTTTAGTTTTGGTTGCTCTGCAGCAGCAGCAGCAGCAGCAGCAGCAGCAGCAGAGCAGAAGCAGCAGCTCGATACTGAATGTAAACCCTTATCGTTTCTTATCCCTGATCGCTTTACAATGAACCGTCAACCTCGGCATCGGCCAAACTCAACATTCCTGCAGCAGGTATGTGCGACGCGTCAAGCACAAACTCGACGGGAAAACTCACAGTCCAGCAAGGAGTGCCTGAGCACGACCACTGCGGGCTCTGGACAACCATCCAAGCAACTCACTCAAGTCCATGCTGGCCCTGTATTTGATGCTTGTGCTGACAAGTTTCGTCTGAGCAAATTCCCGGAAGAACAACTTCTTGAGTCTCTTATTGAGCCTGAATCTGGGAATCTCGGCATTACGCATTCAGAGTGACCTTGCTATGCTTGCAATTTCTTGCAATACTCTTGCAATCAAGCATCACAGCCGCGTTGTCCCCGAGTGTCGAGAAGGAAAGAACCTGCCAGCTACACCCTTTTGAATCGAATTAAAATGAAGTGCAATAAACTACCCGCCAATGCCATGCCCATCCAGGTGCAGAGCAAGGTTGGAAGCCCGCGCCAAAGCGCAAAAGTCCTCTGACAGACGTGGACTACGAAACTTGCAATAACTGTGTCTCGGGGTCCCACCTCCCGCAAACTGTGAGCTTGCACAGTGACCTGGCATGTCCGATTCCTGCAACTCTTGACATGTTGCCGTGCTGCGCATTTTGTGCACCTCGATGCCGAGAGCCGCCGCGTTCGATTTCAGCCATTCGATGCAGACATGTCTCCTCATTAGCCAGATGTCTTTCAGCCAAGTTCACATCATCCCGTTCCTCAACGTGCCCGAACGGTCGGCCAAGGAGCAGATCTGGGCTGGTCACCACAAGCACTTTCTTAAAGCCTGCGGCAGTTTGGAAGCCCCAGCCGACACCAGCCGACACAACAAGCTGTCAAGTCAAGAACATCCAAGAAGGCCTTCTTCCACCTGAGTTCATGCAGACCATGAAGTTCTGTTCATGTCTTGCAACTTGAAAGATCAGCTCCTCACGATGATCTTTCGATACATGGTGCAAGGCCTCCAGCAAGTCTCACGATTTTCCTATTACCTCGACCTCAATCAAGTTTAAGATTGGAATTTGCTGAAGTCCTGCTGGCAGCATCGATTCCATCAGGGTCCAATGATGCTCTGCCCAGAAGTTGGGTTTCGGGTATCGCTCTTGCATTCGGAAAAGAGCTCTCGGGTTCAGGCGGCTGGTGCCACAACCAATGGTGCGCGTTCGCCTTTCAAAAGCAAGTGTGACCACGCAGGGTTCTCAAAGTAGTGCGCGCAGCGTTGGAATGTAGCCTCCATTGGGATGGGCTTGTCTGAAGTGAGCTCGAACTCTGCGAGGCCCCAAAGGTCCTGGAACACATGTGACCCACCAGAGTGCAGAGACAGTGCGCTGCACACTCTGGGGAGTCCTGACCCCTCAAATGAATTGTCAACTCCTGTTGAGTCGTGTCAGAGCTTCTTACACGATTGCACGACTGACACCCCAACACAGCTCAACACCAGCGCTTCTGCCTTGGCAGCTTCTTCGTCGCTGTATCGGTCCAAGCCTCAGTGCCGCCACTCAGTGTCGGGATGCCTTTGCCCGGCTTAAGACGCAAAAACGGCTGAGGCATCTGTGTTGACATGCTTCGACTAGAACTTGGGGAGCCTGCACTGCCGAAACTCGGGTAGAAATGCCTGGCAAATCCAAGCAGGTGCAGCTCCCGCATGTGCCCTACTTTTTGGCTAGAGGCCATGAACTCGAAGCGTAAGCCTCAGAGACGCCTAAACCTTAAATCTCGAATCCTAGTAACATACACGGTTGGACCGCGCAGTCTCATGTCCTCATGTCTGTGACCTGGCCATGCATCATGATGAGGACACGTTGGTAATTTTCATTCGCAGGGTGCTTTTCCTAAGCCTCGATTTCCTCGGGGTTATATTTTTTTAACTCTGCTGGGTTCCACTTTTCAGGTACTTGTTTTGACCACTTCTTTTCCAAAGTTTCTTAAATGTGAATTCTACAGGTTTCTTTTCTTGGTCGAACCTTTCTCGTGGAGTTTTAGTGCTAAAGGGGGTGCCGTCTAGGACTTGACGGGGAGATATCGAGACCATGCTTCCACAGGTCTGGTGGCTGCGCCCCATGGAAAGGTGGAACTTCTTAATGCTCACTTCGTTGGCCAGCAAACTCGACACGAGTCTCTGTTTGCTCCCCATCTCCAGCTACTGGTGCGTCCCAGAGGACAGGATACATGCATCGGGGTCGAGCCATGCTTCTCAAGGAGCTTGGGGCCCGGGGGGGTTTGGGGGTTGGGGGGTTGGGCACTCTGCCGTGCATGAAGAATCCCACACAATACGGATTGACAAACCTCTACAGTTCCAATCCCCGGTGAGGGATAGTCATGAACAAAACACCCCTCATCATGCTGCCACTGCTTACTTCGCTAGTAACCCTCGTTTAAAGCCAACGCATGTCTTCTTGCAACAGAACCATGCCCGCCGTTGAACTTCGCCGCAACTCGCAAGAACAATGCTGTCGTTGGTGGGGGTGGTGATGCTAGGCCGACAATTTGCAGGGCAGGGGAAAAGACAGGGCCAAGTGTGTGCGCACACACAACGTAATCTTGAGAGGTGTGCTAGTGAGAGATGCTCGAGCGCCATAGTTCGAAAGTCCTGACGGTAGCAGCACATGCTCCTGAATCCATCCATGGAAAAACAGCTGCTGTTCAATAGCACGAAGTCCAACCTGTGCTTTGCTTCCCTTGCATCTTTCACCCTGACGAACGGACCGCTTGATCTGTGTACATGCAGGCAGCATCACAATTATAGACATCTGGCTACATTCATGGAACTCATGACCTCCTCCCTCGCCTGGAAGTTGTACACAGGCTTACCTAATTGGCGCTTGTCAGACCTGGCACTCTTTCAACTTTCAACTTTCAATTGCTTCATGCCCCTTCCAAAACTGCATCCGCAAGTGCTGGCAGTTCGGCTTCTCAGGGCAGAAACGATTTCCTTCCACTCTCGAGCTGCCCAACGGCAAGACTGCCTAAGCTTGATGCTCGGCTTTCAGTTTTCGCTCCAATCGGACCATGTGCCAGCACGCGCCTTCCCGTCAAAAATCTCCCGCAAAGACTTGGTAATCAAGTTCAGATTTACCACCGCATGGTTCGTGAGCTTGGCAAACAGCAGGCCACCTCAGTTTGCAAGCACAATTGTCAAAATGGCAAGAGCCACGTACAACCAAAACGAGTTAGCCCGATGTGCGCCAGGTCGCGAAGGATGAACGCCAGATTATTTCCCAGCCTTCCAGAGCCGTCCGTCACCTTGCAGGGGTGGGATCCCCAAGTTTACAGATGGGACTGTGAGGCACAGTGCAGCAGCCTTTCGCAAGACAGAAAGCCATGGCAAGCCATAGAGATAAAGAATCTTGCCGGGGCATGGAACCGGCACAGCATGGAAGTGCACTCTAGAGCTGCGCACTCCAGTGCTTCTGGAGACTCTGGAACTCCGCACTTCAGGACCTCTGGGGATACTCTGCATGGAATTTCTGCGGCTGGAGATACTCTCGGGCTGGGCACTCCAGGACTCCAGGACTCCAGGAACTTTGAGGATACTCTGGGCACACCCGGGACTTTCTGAAGGGATACTAGGGGTTGGGCATTGCGGGTGATGGGTAGGCCAGGCGATGAGAAGAGTTGAGTTCAAAAATCTAACAACCCCACACGGTAGGTGGGGAAGAACCATTCGTCTAAGAAACGACGCCGCGAGCACCATCATCCGGCCGGTTATGCGCGTTTAGACATCGATAGAAGTCAAGAGCTCGAGGGCCTCGTGCTATCTAATCCGACCTGAGCATTGTAGCTTCCTGACTTCCTGAACCCGAAGTGACAAACTCAAGAAACAATAGAGCCATCTTCACGGGGTGGATAATTAGGCTTCAAGCGTCCGATCTTTCGCTTGCAATCTGGCCTGCATTGCTGGACCATCCACTGTGGTGCCACTCACGACAGCGCTGCCCACAAAAGGACTCGCCGTGGAGGTGGCTTGCGTGACGAAAGCATTCCTAAAGCTGAACGCCAACACGCTCTTCACTCTGTCTTGACCACACGAACGATTCGATACTGCTCTCAATATTGCTCTAAGCGACGTCGAAGAAACTGCCTGCCACCACCGCTTGCGAGTTCGCGAAAGCATTCGAAAGCTAAACTCTGCCCAAGCCGTGCAAATTTTATGCAACGGCGTCGCACCCTAAAGCTGCGGGTGGATGACCTTGCCAATTCCACACGGGCTCCTGCCCCACATGTCAACAAAGCTTGTATCCACCTTAATATCCACGACCGTGATCCACCGTCCTGCTTCGCTCGTGGAGACCTCGTCGGCGTTCACAATATCCTCCCGTTGAAGCAGCAACAAAACGACTGCGGAGACCCAAACAGAAAAACTCTAGGCAGGCCCACCGACTTCAGGTAAACGTCCAAAATCGTGATGGCATCGCCTGCCCTGCTTTGAGTTGACAGCAGCGTAGCAAGCAGGCAACAAACCTCCAAGCCTATGACGCGCGACATGCATTGAATAGATGTGCTGCCTGTCTGAAATGACGTAGGCGCTCAGCGCCACGATTGCGATGACTGCCTAGCACTCAAATTCATATATTCTCAGCCACTGGAAACTACCGAAAGCAGAGCCGCCATTGGCAAACCGTACCAGGTATGTGTATAGTATATTGCGCACCAATTGAGCCAAGATGCTATAACCAAGAAACCGCCAGAGCATGGCCCTCGACTGCAACCGAAACAGCGAGAATCCTTGGGTCGGCAGATGTCGATGCTGGTTCCGCGGTCAAATGCAGCTGTCATTACCCATTCAGGTCCCAAGCATCTCAATACATCGAAGAAAGTTGTGATTGATTGCGGCCACTTGCGTCCGAGGGTCGTGAGCTTGCTTTGTCTCACCCCTGTGCCTGGTACGACGCGGGCTATCCGGGTGCACAAGCAGGCCCACTGAATGGGAAGCAGGCCTTTGTCGCCGCTTCGTGCGCGAGCTGGTCGCTCTATCAACGGGCAGAGGCATGCTCCCGCATCTCCCGCGCCAGGAGCATGGCTGCCAAACATCTATACGGGTGCATTTAGACTTTGCGTACCCTCAAGAGTCGCCCCTAGTCCACATGGCGGTCTCGCAGAAGTTTGGTGCGACCGCATGTGACAGCAATGCATGTGCTTCCTGGGCTTATCATGGTTTATCTGTGAGCACTTGATGTCATGATTAGCGCAGAAAAGTAGGTGAAGTACTCGGGACAGTACCATCACATGCATTCGTACCAGGACAACTTGGCAGTTGAATGGCCCCCACTTCAAGGATGATTTTTGTCCATTCCTTTGCAGACAAGCGCTCGCGGCGATCATGGGCATCTTCGGCCACATCAGAAGGCATCAGAGTATGTACAGGCAGCCGCTGATTGCACCAGCCAGCGGCTAAACCAGGAGAATAGAGTGTGGCTCAACACACTCGGCAGGTATTGCCGGCAGAGTTTCCCAAGCGCACCTCACACAGTTTTGAGGCTTTCGAGCGCTCTTCGGCATGACGATTTTCGTGATGACGTGGTGCTGTAAGCTCCTAGGACTTCTCATCCAGCCTTGACAAGCAATAGCGCTCAAGCGACCGCAGAGACCTCGAGGGGCCACTGTCAGAATATATTCGACCTGGACACACAAAGAGGTGCACGCGGACACATCGCACACAAGTTTCATGTGTGCTTTCAATATGCACTCTAACTCTTCTCTGCATGGACCATTCCAGCCTGAAGCGCTGAAACTGGCACACTGAGTGCTGCCGTAGCTTGGAGGCTTAGACATCAGGACATAGACATCAGGACTAAGAGGGACCCAGGCCTTGAAAAGTGGGACCCGGGAAGCACGAACAAGAAGCCCCACTCTCCGGAGCAGGGATGGGTTTCCAAGGTGACGACTCTTACTTCCTTCCTTCCCTCTTCCTTCCCTCCTTCCTCTGCCCCCATCTCATGAGCCAAGAGTGTCTTTTGCACAACAATATGCTTACACTTGCTGTGGCACGTAGCACAGGAACCCCATGTGCAAGCCACCTCCGCACATGTAGATGTAGCCTTGGAGACAGACAAGAAGCACAAGAAGAATGCTGTCCAGAATCCTCAGAACATGTTCTTTTGGCAGCTTCGCAGCCTTCAGAGGCTACGGCGCCAGCATTCGCTCTTGGGATATTCATGGAGGGTACCACCTCCCAACATCCCAGAGCGGGATTGAAAGCCTCCACAGACTTCAAGTCCTTGTGACAGCGGCTGATAAATTTTAGTCTCTTGCAGCACGCTCTGAGACTCTACGCTGCCATGGCAAACTTTGCCGCTGCCATCTCTCCTCAGCATCATAGTCGTCCTTACCACCGCATACCTCGCATGGGCCAGCCCTAGCTGAATGAACACATATCTGGCTTAGTCTGGGAACTCCAGCAATCCAAAGCCAACAAACGGAGCAGAACTCAGGCGATTACATAAATTCGGCTGCTGAAGGCAACCATGGCAGCCTCAGCTCGTGATCGCAGGAAAAGCGAGCCAAGGCTACCCGAATCAGACTTTCAAAGATTTGCAAGTAAGCGAACAGCATAGTACCTGGGTGTCCTCATCGGTGGCAAGCTCTCCCAGGAATGTGTTGATGGATTGAAGCCTCCAGCACTGATCAACACCAGCAGGCGATCTGCATCTGCAGCCAATTGCAGCCCAGACTCGCTCCATACTGTCGACTTCGTGCCCTCCCCGCACCTGAGAAGGTGCAGTCTGTGACATGTCACAACATGCAGTAATTATCATACAAACGGCAAATTTTTACAGCCTTCCAAAAAAGCTCATGCCATCTCAATATCCCCCAAGTCACGTAAAGAAAATCGCCAAGGACACAAGCAGCGATGTTGGGGTCGCCATTGGCGTCCCCACCCCGTGGCTCGGACATTGGAGGCAGGCTCTCCCAGCAGCCCACCTCAGTGGGATCCGAAACTTACGGCAGATCGACAAACCACCTTGCCCTCAAGGTGCCTGAAGATGGTTCAGGCCGGTAAAATTGTTGGGTCGCCCAGGCAACGCGCTTGATCTGCTGAGCTGCACGTGGCGTAAACCGCTCGGCAGTGTCGAGCGCTGAGAAGTCGTTGATTCCAGAGGTGCCCGTCTCACCACCACAAACCTTGCAGCAGGTTCGCGGCCCCCGCCCCTTCAGAACAGACCTTTTGAGCAATAGTGTACAAAAATGACCAAATCTAGAAATACCCACCATCCATATCCCATGATGACACGTACATCTTGGAAGTTCGGGGGCAAGGTTCTGTGTGTGTGTGTGATCGTCGCAATGCGCTGTCTGGGCAACATGCCAGGACTGTCCTGGATGACCAGTTGCAACTGTTGTAAAACATGCTTTCAGCGAGTCATGCTCAGGAGGCGGGTGTACGCGTTGCACATTTTTGCACAGAGTCGCGCAGAAATGTGCAGAACTCCAGGAGAGGCTGGTTGGACATGATGTTGTTGAGCACCCCTGCTTGCACTAGTCACAGCCTGATCTGCCGAGATCTCTGCGCGTATAGGTTTTGCTATTTGCGGACGCAGGTAGGACAGCTCCCTCCCCTGACCGTCTGAAAAACAAAGAGACTTGGGAGGCTAAGTGTCTTCGTGTCAAGGAGGCTTGTATGTTTCTTGGTTCATGAAAAACTTTGGAGACGGGAATGTTGAGAAGTGAACTCTGTGATGAACCTCGAAGGTCCACGAACAAATTAAACCCAAACAAACTAAACCCTCAACACCCTAATGCCCCAAATGTTTCGGCTAGGCAAGGCCTTGTGTTGCAAGTGAGTTCACCCGGGTGCTTTTAGCCAGTTTTAGCCGTTGCTTAATGGTCTTCAAGATTCAGGCCAAAGGCTAATCCGATCTGTCTGCTGTGGCGCGGCATTTCAGACGTTTCGGAGGCATGGGCATTCCGAATTGCAATGCTGCCTGATGCTGCCTGATGCTGCCTGATGCTGCCTGGGTGCATAGAGCTGACCTCTCAAGGCTGCAGCAGCTGCTCCGGCTCGCGGCGTTCCCATCCTCGAACTCGAATACTTGGACTTGCCAAACAGATTTGCTTGAACTGCATTCAAAGGCTCGTTCCCAACGACTCCCACTTGAAGGTCAGCCTTGCTGAGTCGAGGCATAGGCCAATCAGGCACTCAGGCACTCAGGCTAATCATTCTTGCTCAGGTCTATGCTTGTGTTCCGGGCTCGGAGGCCTTTAAGCGAGGGGAGGCACATGACATATAGGTTTGGGTCTGGGGGTACTGGAGGGCCTTGACCAGAAGTGCTGGAGCTTCTGGCTCGAATGTGTCCTATGAATGTGGGATTCGTCGGTCACGACCTGGAGCAAGGAGACTATGACTTTATAGATGGACACATAAGACTGTCTCGCAAATACCTGTGTTTCTAGACTTGAACTACAGGTGTAAGTAAGGGACCTCAAACTCACGCCTTGGATCTCAGGGAATCTCCCAACGACAAGTGCACCACATGAAGCCTCTCACGGTTTCTATAGATCTAATGACTCCCCGACATTCCCAGACCAATGCCAAGCAGCGGGTCGAAGCAATCCACGCCGCTTAAATAGTTCTCGTCGTCGCCTGACCCAAGCATGTTTCTGATTGGTGAAACGATGGTGAAAACCAGTGGAAAATAGTGGAAACCTTCAAGTTGCCGGAGGACTGAGGTGTGGACTACTGCCGCCGCAAACATAGATGTGCCCCTGCCACCACAACAAGGAATAGTCAGAGAGTACATGGCACTAGGTGGTCACCAGTCCTTCATCATTCACTAGTCACAAGTCGCTGGTTGCTTACGTGTGAGGATTCTAGGTGCAGTTGCATGGGCTGCGTGGTATGCCAGAAGATGATCTGCCTCGAGGCAAGCTATGGCAGGCCAGTTGTTGAATCCACGCCGAGGTGTCGGCGCGGGTGGCCTGGATCCAAGGGATCCACGCCGCATGGCAGTACTCCGATCACCCGCAAACATGTTGGGGCTCAGTGGGCTAAGTGGGCTAAGTGGGCTAAGTGGGCTCAGCCGCAGGCAAGGTGGTCCAAAGAGACTTTAATGCATCGAAGCGCTGAATGCACATCCTCGGTGCACACTTGGCTATCTCGCAGCGGGAAACTCCATCGAGCAGAAGCTCAAATCGGTCAAAGCGATGAAAAGTAGCCAGGGTTCGCGTTGTCGTCGCTCCGCGCTCCGCACACGTACAGGTAACCTTGTTACAGCCCGCTTCGAAAGCAAACAAGGAGCATCTGCTCATGAAAGCATTGATTGCCGAGAAGCCTTCCTGTCCGAGCAACGTTGGCCTTGAAAGCCCCAGTGCTGCACGAACGGTTCCTACACCCCATGTCCGCATGTTGCACCATGCTGCCGAACATAGCTTTGGAGATCTTGCTAAGTCATCTTAGCAAGGCTGCTTAGGGCCCGAACATGCAGAACGAGCGAGAGCCAATCGACAACGACTTGGGAACATCAAGCGTGCTCCATCTATGACGAGTGGGATCGAAGTGCCTGGGCATCCAAAGACACCAAGGCAAAGACAAGCACAAGAACAACTTGCCGCTGTGCGGCGCAATCTTTTCCATAGTATAGTACTGGTTGCAGCCTGATACGAACAGCGCCTGGGAGTCTGAATGACCTGCAGATCTCAAAGCGTTCCTAATCACAATAGAACGACACGCATTCGAAATGTAATGAATATGCCGGGTTGCCGAAAACTGCTGCCCTTGAGGCATCACGAGATGAGTTGGACAGTTCGCGAAGGCGACATGTGCCAGCAAGGCACAAGAAAGACCTAGAGACCGATGTGCTTCACATTGTTTCACTGGTTGTCATTGCTTCGTTGCAAAGGCTTCGTACTTGCTTACTTGCTTGTCTGACGCAGCTCCGCGGAGGATGCAACATACTGCAACCAAGTTACGATACGGCTGTAGCCAGCTCAGCGATTCTGAAAACTTCGGCCCTGAGTGCCAGTCTTCAGAACCGTCTCCGAAGCGGCCACAATTCCAGAACACTGGGAAGAGAAGACTTTATTTGTTGCTGATTTTTTGGCTAAGTGTCAGCCTGGCATGGACGGGATATGGATGTGCTCTCCGCACAGCCTCGAAGCGGCGCCGGTGAAGCGCGGCAAGAAAGGTATCCCGCCTGTACAGATTACAGATCTGTACAGGCCATCAAGGATCATCAAGGCACAAAGCTCGTGCTGACATCCATGGAAATCCCTTCCAAGGCCTCAGGACTCCGGACCTGCCAAGCGAAGGGCGGAGACTTGGTTTCTAGAGCCATTTGGCCATGCAGAGCGTGCCTGAAAAGGCAGTCGCACAAAGCAGCAAACTCATCCGGTCCATCCAGCTTTTCATTAACCATGACTTGTTGACAAAGCAAGGCATGCCTGAATACGTCGAATCAAGCTTGAAAGCTTGTGAATGGGTGCGGCTTTGACTATACTGTTTGTGTTGAAAACTTGTGAGGATCGGCACCAGCGTACTGATGCTATCAGCTCGCCATTTGACCTTCCATACGCAGATGAGAGCCTGATTCTCGAGGCGAGCCAATGCCAGGTCATGCCGATTCCGCGTCCCTGACTACTGCTCACTTCCTGTCCAGCACTTTTCAGCATTCGAGGTGTGAGTACTTCGGAGCTGTCATGCCCCGGTATTCGGAGCATGATCGAGGCTGCTATGGTGGCCTAGGGTGGCCTAGGTCCAGCTCAACTGACTTCACCGCCCCGAATGAATGTGCCACTGCGAGTCGCCGTACCTCAAAGGCTTCAAATGGCTGCAAACGATACTGGTAAAGTGACTTCAAAAGTGCTTCCACTGGGTCCCACACCATGTGGACAGTATCTTATCTTGGCCGCTCACAAGAACCGTCAATGTTGTTGATGTAGTTGTCAGTCAGAGACCTCCATTCGCCAGTCAAACTGAATCGATGTGCAATTCAATTGGTGATACGCCGCACCTTGTGCTCAGCTGGCTTGCGCGAGAGCATCTACTCCTGTAAGGGTGCGTGTGCTTCGTAAACCAAAAGCGAGACATTACTCCATACCGGGATACTTCCCAGCAGATCTGCGCATGATCATGTCTGCTCAAAACTTAACCTTTTGGAGCCCCTGTCTATGCCTGCCTTCCTGGAGCGGCTACTGCTGCGTGCGCGGAGGTCCTGCGACTGCATCTGGGTATACCTTGCTATACCTTGCCATGTCGATACTACTGGAGGGATGACCGGGGATGTCAGGTTGCATGATCGCGGCCTTGCCGTCCCTAGCAATGCTCAGACTCGACCCTCGTGCACGCGTGTGCTCCTGCAGAGGAAACTGTCGGAACATCTGTAGGAAGCTGACAAGCAACTCGACTCGATAAGATCGGACCTGTCAATGCACGAGTCTCCTTGCTGTTGCTTGGGCTGCTGTGGCTTGGGCTGCGCTTGCGAGTAGTATCCTGACAGGCCACGCTGCTGATGATGTGCGATGACCCGCGGCTTGAAAAATTGCTGGCTATCTTTGTCTACACACCCGGGAAGCCACTGGTGTCCTTGCTGCCTGCCGTTAGCGACACGCTGGTAGAAACGCCCTGGCAGACACCAGAGTCGTATAGTGTTGAGGACAGACTGAGTACAGTTCATTGATGTCACTCAGTTGGTTGTCAGGTAGACCAACCCATCTTCTTGGAATTTGAATCTGCCGATATCTGTCATACTTAGCCACACAGCATGCTCGGCGCCTGAGCCGGGTTCAGTAAGCTGCGGCTGTTTCGGTGCTCTCCTCGAGCTTCCTTCAGCACTCCAAGGGTGGAAGCTAGCGGAAGCTAGCGGAAGCAGATCCTAACTCTGGATGCCAAGTTGCACTGGTCGACCCAGCTCCTCTGCTGGATCGGCTCTGCTTGTGGTGTCCAGCTTCAGCCTAGACAACTACATCAAGTACATCGCATTCTCGTTTCCAAGGAACGCTTGCCCTAACGAAGTTGCAAGCCGCCTGCTTTTCCACTGAGGATATCTTCCACTCCTGATTAAACCAACAGCCAACAGCTTTCAATGTGCCAATGCATGTCAATGTCGGAGCGCATGACACCCAGAAATTCTAAGCAGCTCGCTTGTACAACGTTGTCTACCTGAGCAAAGGCTTTCGCACCAACAATCAACAGTCCGAATGCTCGCTTGGCCCGCGGCCTTGTCGCTGATCAATGCCTTTTTCCAGCGCTTGACAGCCTCTTGGGCTGAGTGCTCACCCGTGGAGCCACGAACAAAGTCGGGTGAAACGATCATGCAGAGCAGTCTCCAGCCTGACTGTTAGACTTTCTTTGCCTAGGTGTGGTCACACTGCCTCCACATCTGAAGTTCTGAGAAGGGAGGACTTCACATGCTTTCACCCACGGTATCCTGCCCAGGATGTCTCTGCACGAGGCCCCCGGCGGCTCCGAAGGTTCCACGTCCGTCTGCTGCTGCATCTGCGCAGTCCAAACACCACCAAGTTGTGCGCCACAAAGGGTGCATCAGAGAGCTCTATTCTTCAAAAGCTTAAACAGACTCAAGGCACCAGTCGTGGCCTTGGGCAAGTCGCAAAGCACAAAGTAACGGGGCACAACCTTTTTGTCAGCATCCGAGAAGTCCGCGGCTTCCGGGCCAGGGCCGCTGGAAGACCAGCACGGTGGTCTTAAGCCAAGGCCTCGAACTGTCAGGTCAGAACTAAGGCTGTTAGTGGCACATATTGCTCATAACCCGGCACTCACAAAAATCCTCTCATGAACTCGCCGAAGCCGTCCCACTCTCTCTCTCTCTCTCTCTCTCTCTCTCTCTCTCTCTCTGAGGCTCCAGCAGTGTGGCTGCGGCCCGCAGCTCCGCGCTTTTCTCCGGCAGGCCTGGGCAGGCTTGTGCTGGCCAAGCTGGGCCAAGCTGGGCCAAGCTTGCTAGCAGCTGCTAGCAGCGCTTCTTTTCGTTGAGGCGAAACAACTGGCGACATCGATGAACACTGACATTGACGTCATGCTCTCGATCGTCCTCAACCTTCGGCGAAGCCTTCGGCATCTGGAGGATCGGACAGCTGAATGCCGTAAGCACGTTCGGCTGCAGGAAGGCTTGATAGGCTGGATAGGCCCAGGCATGCAGAAAACTCCGGAAAGTTGCTATGCCTGATGCTGGCCTCCTTCAGCTGCGGTAGGCTTGCTGAAGGCGGAACTAGAACACAACATCCGAACTGAAAGATTGTGACCAGCAGCACCGACAGTAAGAGTGTGAAGCAAAGAGCGCCGCAGATGGCAGTGGCCACTTGCAAGCACTGCTCGAGGACGCTGTCCATCCCAAGTTGCCACAATCCAAAGCCCTGAATCTGATAAAGAAGCTCCTGCCAGCTGTACCACCAAGCATAGCAAACAAGCCAGGCACCGAGCGTCATCAATCGATTCGGAACAATCCGCTCCGGATGCCATGTGAACTTCTCAGCCAGACAAGTTACACTGCATGTTGCTAGGCATGCGTAGAGGAACGAAACTGTGAGGCCCAATGCTGTGCTCTGTGTCCGGTCAGCAACCAGCTGTGTGCCGAAGTAGAACCCAGCATCTGTCACGGCATAGCCTGCAAGAGTTGAGCATGGGGTGGCTATACACGGAGTCTAAACAAGCATGCATAAACAAGCATGCAGATCGCCCTGAAGAGCTTGGGATGTTTGTTTTCATGAACGAGTTGCCGGTGATGACGATCACCATCATCTTCATGGCGATGAGAGCCCGCCGGCGGTGAGAGCCATATCGCTGGGACGGCTCAGGCAAAAGGAACAGCAACAGAAGACCTCAAACGAGTTCGGGCGTGGCTGTGCTCATTTCAAGCATCTGCAAACATGCTCCACATGCTTGCGGGAGATTGCATGTATGGGGCTGTGCTAAGCATGCGACCTGCTAGCAAAGTCATGGCCTGCAGCGACACAATTCAAAGCAACATGTTTTTCTCATCATGCATCCGATACGTCTGAATCCCCAATTGCAGCGCAGCTGCAGCTTTCACCAGCAGCATTCTGTATCCCGGTCCATCTGCCTCCATGCTTTCTGGACGACCATTCATCTCATCCTGCAGCGTTTTAAACCTGTGCAGGGGCCCGGTCCTCCCGTCATCGTCGGCGCCATATGCTTCATAGGATGTCTCGAGCTCCAGCATCTCATGTGGGCGGGGTCCTGGTCCACGTCCTGGGTGTGCCCTCATCTTCCTCAGGAAGCGGTTCCAGACCGAGTTCCAAAAGTAGCCCAGCGTCGACCACAAGGAGTTCAGCAGAATGGATCTGACTGCCCCGCCATAGGTGTTCTCAGGAGATTGGGGATCTGGCATCTCCTGAATTTGTTTTTCCAGCAGGGTCTGGCAAATAACAAAGATGAAGGTGATGCCAACGGCCAGTGTAATGCCAGTCGGGCCCGGGGCCTTGAAGTTGGACACATACGGGAACAGAAGAGCGACCAGCCCAGACCAACTCGTACCCACCACCGTCCCAGTCATGCTCATCAGGAGGAGCCGACTCATTCGGAAAGGTCGGCTCCAAGAGCAGCGCCCCTGGAGCTTGTGGCGCACCAGGGGCATGAGGGCGGTCACCACCACGGTGTAGATTCCCCATCCCAAGATGGACTCCGAGTACTGGGGCAGTGCAAGCCTTGGCTGCGCTGCGACGGCTACAGCGCATCAACTGCACCAGGCGCGCCCACACTGCGCCCACTCCACAGTTGAATTGAGCGGGAGCCGCTTGAAGACATAGCACCTTTGAGCTCACTTTGCTCGTGAAAACAGCATCCAAGCCCTATGCGGCTGCTGACTCCCGACATTGTGACCCCCTACAAGGACTGGAAAATCCTACCGTGGTGTCAGAGCTCTGCACCAGTTGAGCGCCACGATGATCGCCAATACCCAAGTGAAGACCTCAAGGATGCTTTTTAAGGTCCGTGTTGCCCGGCGCGTTGCGCTGCCTTTGCATTGCGTTGCGTTGCGTCGCGTTGCGTTGCTTTTGCATTGCGAGTTGCCAATGTGCCCTGCTTGATCCTAAGACGCTCTATTTGCTCAACTCTTGACGCAATTCCTTGCGGTTGCTTAGTTGCTTCATTACGGCTGCTGGAACATCACCCTGCCGCCATGCCACGAAATGGAGCTTCAGGACTCGTGAAGCGCTTGTGTCGTCACCCATTGCAACATGTGAGTGGCCATCACGTGTCCTGCAAAGCTGCCTGTCGTCTGAAGCTTTCCGAAAGCTGATTATTGGCTGGTTTCTCGTCAGGTTGTCAAGCTGCTTGCCACATGGCAGCCACTGCTGTGTCGGCAGTAGCACACCTGTTCTTGATAAGGAACAGTCGGGCTGAAATTGTTGCAGGAGCTCATCCAATGGATCAGTGTGTCACTAGCTTCAATGAACCCGCAACTCTTAGCCACACACTCTCGAAGCCGCGCTGCTTCATGAGAGCTTCTACCTCCGTGCTGCATGTACTTAGAGCAGGGAATCAACTGCAAGCTTTGCCATCTGACTGCGGTAGTCACAGTCTCAATCTTGCTGTTGATTGCGAAACTGCCAACCAGTTGTTGTTTGTGGCTCTTTCGCTGATACGGCCTCCTCGGATGTGCGAAGGTTCACATGCCCCTCTCCAGCCTACAAGTTGCCAAATATTGACGTCTTGCACATTGACTGGCAATGCAGATTGGTATTGCAAAATCTGTTGCAAGCATTCTTGGGAGAACGATACTATCTTCAGAGGTCTTCAGAAGTCTCCTGCCTGGTTGCCCCATGACAACACCATTCCGGAGCAAGTATGCCTCACAACTCACACAACGAAAACGGATGACACCAACAGATGACCCTTAAGCCGCACAGTGCCCTCCCTGACCTCTCCAAATTGTCGAGGAATGAGGTCTCGAACTGCCGAGGGATATGTTCAGCGACTTCCAAAGAAAGCACCTCGGCATTGATCTGTCATTGTAACAAAGGACTGTCAAGATGCCTGCACAATCCTGTGGGCCAAACCCAATCCCATCGTGTCCCCAAGTCCAGGTCCTTGCTCAGATCAGCCTTCGCTCGTCTTCGCTCCGGGTAAGGCCCAAAATCATGAGGAACAGGAAACACCAGACACAAGCTTTGCCTGGAGACAACGGCCATCTGTGATCTCCCAAGTCGCTGGGTTTCCTGGCCATGATGCTTTGTAGCAAAGCTGCGCTTGCGACAGCTGGGCAACTCAAAATTCAGGCATGGCTCCGTCGAAACCGCCCGATCGGAAGCCCACACTTCGAAGGTCACGTACCTGGGAATCATATGTCATCGTGCCGACATGGCGTGTATCGATGCTGGGGGCTCTTGCGACCCAGGGCCCTGGCATAAAGCCCCAGGCCACATCCAAAGTCTGCTACCGAAGTTGCCTGGGGAACATTCGCAGACTCCTACAGCATCGTGCAATATTCTACGGCTCGACGACACAGCCAGCACACAGCAAGACGGTTCGAGACACCCATCTCACAGAACCCCCACCACGCTGAAACGTTGAAACGTGCCACCTCAGGGTGCACGGACGAAGATGATCAAAGGAGCCTCTTATACGCACCGCGAGCTGCGGAGCCTTCCTTTGAAGATCTCTAACAGTTGACTCTTCCCGGAGCCCCCAAAGAGATAACAAGGTTTCTTATGTGCTGGGCTCGCTCATCATCATGGCCAAAAAACTCACTTGCTTCCTGGCTGCCTCTCTTGACTTGAAGAACGAGACCAGCGCGTCCGCGAACGGCCTTTGTGCTCGTTCTATGATTGCTGCGTGAAAGTGTTCGTTGAACTTCAATACAGCGGCATGCTTTCTAGGCCTTCTGTGCCCCGCACCCGTCATGCATGTGGTAGCCAGCCGCTTCTGTACCCACCCACCTGCAGTGCAACAATGTGCCACAAGTGCTCTGAAGCTATCTTTGCCGACAGTGCTAGTGCGACTTAGGGCGCTTGATGTGTTTGTGGTCCTCCTAGTTTTGAAGATTGTTTAAGTATATAAGTTATATAAGTATACATACAAACTTTACTTTAACTTTGAGGCCCCGCCGTATGATTTAGGAGTACCCGGTATCAGTCCCCCGGGAGCCTTAGAGCAAGTCACATATGCAACAAGCAGACTGGGTCGGGAGCGCTCCACTGGGTGCAATGGACAGGTCATGCGACGCCTTGGCGCAGAAGGCTCTTATGGCTCATATCTCGCATCGAATACTTTCGAATACGCTACACTACACCCATCCTTACTGGACAAATCTCCGGAGGGGCGCACGAGGGCAAGCTCTTGCTCGGCCTCCTGGCTTCGTCCAAGTCCTGCTCGGGACTCTTAGGTCAGCAACCTCTAGATAGCGCAAGCCTACAAGAGTTACAAGAAGGAACGAAGCTCTACTGGCAGCATCAAGTAGCTCGTGGCTCTGAAGCCGCAGCAGACCCGATTGCTTTTGGGGTTCAGGTTCAACAGGTTCTCTC